TCTATCATTTTTTCATAATAGAGATATTTTAAAGTGTTGACAAATAATACCATAATTTTTTTTCAATTAAAAAATACTGTACCTAAGTAACCATGTCCCTTCATTTATAGACATACTCTTTAAATAATTTAGTCACCTTCTTTTTCATATTCTATAAAGATATGTGATCAATAGTTAAGTTTATAATATACCGATACTGACTAATGAAGTCATAGGTCATATCACTCTAAGAATAATATGAGTCTTGTCCAATTGGACATATCACTTAATAACAGAGCCAGTAAGGTTATCTTAAAATATATGCATTAATAGTTTTTCATTATTAGCATGCGCAATCATTTTTAAATAGTAAATGGTAATGTGAGTATTTGGACACTTTGTACCATTATACTTCTTTAACTCTGGCACCTTGAACTTCGAAGGATTAACCACATCTAGGATTAAATAGAGCCCAACAGCATCCACTGAGCCATAAAAACCAGTTTTTTCCATAGCTTGTAACCTCTCTTCCAATATACTAATCTTTGAGTCTTCTAAAGATTCAACCATTTTTGTTTTCTCTCTTTTTTTTTCCTTTTAGTCATCTAAATCAAGAACTAGGATCTTTTTCTCATTAAAAACATGATTCACATAGCTATGGTAATGTCCTAGGTTTGAAGCTAATGGTATTTCAGAATTTGTTAGGTATGTGAATTATTGTAATGGTACTTATTATGTAGACTAAGCTTGAGGTGGACTAAAACTAGGAGAATATAAAGGGTCAGTCACCTTTTGTGATGGATGATCCTGTTGGCTAGTATTTTTTTTTTTTACATTTTTCCCTTTGTTTAACTTATTCAAAGCTTCTAGAATCTTGTTCAATTCCCCTTCAAGCTTTTTTTGGGCTTTTTCTATCCTCTCGAGACAGTTAAAATTTTCTTGTTCCATCTGTCTAGCTCGAGCCCTTGTATTATATTGGTGAGTAAAGTTTTTGTTTGATAGAGTTATCCTTAAACTTTGAGCACTACAATTATGTTATTAGAAATGCTATGCTTTATGCATGATATGTTTATACATAAATGGAATGTGTATTTTCATAAATGAAATCTAATATGAAAATGATACAGATGCACAATGTTATATATGACAATGAAAATGATGTACGACATGATAATGCAAATACACAAAGTCAAACAGAATGGTTAGATAAGCAATATATCACAAAAATTATTTCTTCTTGTGTCTTAACTTTGGGTTACATCTATCAACGGGTACAATGGGCTCTATCCTAAGGCTAGTCCTCTTAAGGGTTGATTATATACAGGGTTTGGTGACTTTGATCACTAAAAGTTCTTAAGTTGTTTCTTACATTATAGTCCATCGCAGACTAGTAAGGCATTTCAATCCTGATCAATTACAGGCTACCAATGAAAAAAATTCAATTTGAGTGAGAATATTTCATTAGTCATTTCGAATATTATCATTTCACGAGAGTGTAGGTATTTTACTCTCTCTTAAAAGAGACAAAGCCTGAGTATAGAGCTCATGTAATACAATTGTATGTGATAGTGTGTGTGTGTGTGTGTGTGTGAAGGAACATATAGGTTTTATGCCTCAAAAAATAAAAGACAAGAAAAAGACAAAAATGTTAGTGAACAAGTAACACAAATCATTACACTTTAAAATCATTAGACCAAAGAATATGATAAATTTAAAAGTTTATGGCTTGACTCTCTATAACATTTTCAGTGAAGTCGTCAAACTATCATAACATATAGATCTGTAAACTTATAGCTAGACTTAGCAAAAGGAGTCACCACCAATTTTTTTTATCTAAGTATGATATGTCACCTAAAGAATCTATCTTTTTAAAAAGCTCTTAAGTTTGACTAAAGGTCTTTAAAAAAATAAGTTTGAGTCTACTAATCAGAACGGAGTTCAAAAGTTTGGTTACATGTGAGAAAGGTTATAGCACCCCCACATGCCTATCAAATGAATGGTATCATTTTATTTCAAATTTATCTTAAGGTCTTGATTCTAATGGTTTTAAATTTTATGTTCAAATATTAGAAATAATTCTTAATATTTCTCCATCAATCTGGTAGAATTCTTAAAAATATTTTATCACCTTAAGAGTATTCAAGAATTTCATTTGTTTTCTTGAAAAGGCTCTGTCGTTGAAAAAAAGATTTAATTATTTTTTTATTTTTATTTTTTTATTAAAAATATATCTAATTATTCCTCCATTTGAGTCAAATTAGACATTTTTTCTTTTGAATTTCTAAATTCTTTACAATTTAGGCTTATTTAGAAATTTTTTTATTTCATTTTTTTAAAAGAAAATAGTGTGATAATTATTTTTCTTAAAATTACATTTAAATTTTTCCACAATTTATGATGAATTTAAAGAAAATTTTCACCTAAAGATTTCTTAAAAATTTATCATTTGAAATTTTTAAAAATATCATCATAAGGTAATAATCAAATATTTTCAACCAATTTTTTTTCTTTTTTATTTTTTATTGAAAATAAATACTAATTATTGTTATTGAAATTTTATCTAAATTATTCCACCATTTGGGACAAATTTAGAGAAAAATTTTCACCTAAAAATTTTATAAAAATTTACCATTTGAAATTTTTAAAAATTTCATAATTTGATAATTGGTATTTATTTTCACAATTTTATTTTATTAAGTTTTACATTTTTTATTTTTTCTAAATTTAATAATGTAAAAATACTATGAAAATAAATAAAATAAATTAATAAAAAAAACTAAACAATTGTAGGAAGGCTCGACTCAGTTGTGGAAGAAAAGCTGAAACGGTTTAAAAAATGACTTGGCTTGGCTTGACTTGAGACAAAGACTGGTAAAAGTCATCTGAAACTACAAAATTTTTAGATTTTTTTCAAAATTTTTTTTTGAAACCCTAAAAAATCTTTAAAAATTTTTCTTCACTGCTCTCATTGATTTTTTTTTTATGTGTGTATGTGTGATCTGTATAGGCATGTATTTATAGGATTTTGAATATAAGAACTCCAATCCATAAAGAAATCCCAATTTCCTTTAAATTTCAACCTTAAACCTAACTCTAACTTTACAAACCAATTTCAATAATTTCACACAAACTCAACTAACTATTGTTTTTCATTTTTTTTTATTAGCAAAAATCAAAAGTAGACCCCTGGATAGATTGGGGCGTCTACACTTATGAAAACCACATTTTTTTTTCAGATTCCTTCTTGGGATCTATTTTAGTGGTTTCAACCATCTGAGGTTGAGATTTCTTCAATTTATATCAGAATCCTATCTCGAGAGGTATTTAGCGTAATGTAATTTTTTTCTCCACTAGGGCTTCTAACCCTATGTAGTCTCCCTCTTGGGAGAGGATTGTCAAAATTCTTACATTTTTTAAGACCAAGAAGGGAGAAAAACCTCTCTTTCCTTGGTTGTTTCTTATTGTAGCTTCAACATTTATATATTTTTCAACTATTAGTTGGACATTAGCTAGAGTTTTATATGGTTTTAGTGACAAGGTTAACTTTAGGTGATACTTTCTGTCATTGAATTCACTTGTTAAGGTGGCTACAATGGCCATTTGATCTAGATCTTTTACCTGCAGAGCTTTCGCGTTAAAACGCGTGACCCAGCTTTTCAAAAATTCATTGTGACCTTGGTGGATCGACATCAAACTGAAAATTATCTTCTTTGTTCTTGGGCTACTTACAAATCGAAACAGAATAGAGTGGTTGAGTTTTTTTAACGTTGTAATTAACCTTGATTTTAGGCTTCTGTACCAATAGCAAGCTATGTCCTTTAGAATGATAACAAAACCTTTTCACATCAGAGCTTTATTTGCACCATGTATCATCATGTTAGTCCTATAAAGTTTCAAAAGATCGAAATGGTCAAAAGTATCGTTATAGGTTTCTAAGGTCAACATTTTGAATTCTTTGAGAGGCATAACTCTATCGATCTCTTCAGTAAAATGCAAAGTTTCAAGAAATTTAAGTTTATCCTTGAACATCATGCTTTTGTTTTTAGCTCTTTCTCTATGGCCTGTATTCGAACTTTCCAGTCCTTATTTGGTTGGGATTTGAAGTTTATCTATTTGGATTTTGGGTCATAACATGTGTCAAATTATGACTAGGGTAGTGCCAAACTGAGGTATTGTGCTCCTCTTCTTAGAGGCTGAAGATATTTCCATCTCTTCATAACTTGGCTATCTTACTACGACTCCTCAGCTATAGGTGATTAGGTCAAGTACTTTCCAAACTTTTGGTAAGGTTATGGTTTATAGCATCTATTTGAGGGTTTGTATCTGCTCGATCAAAACCTAGAATTATTCTATGGTTGGGCCGATTTGTGGTGGGGCAAGTCGGTCTAAGTGTTGGCTATTGTGCATTTCTGTCCCGATTAAGATGGCGATATCTCGTTTCTCTAAAGTTCTTTTCCTAGGTGATATTGTTTCATGCTTGACTAGTGAGTGAAAAAGGCCCTTATTTAGCGTGCCAAATGTTTATACCAAGCTCCAATCTCAAGGTATTCTTAGAAAGATAAAAGAAAAATACGGTTAAAGACAAAAGTAAAAAGTGTTCCCTGTATTTATACTTCAATGCGCAAGTTAAAATAAGTGAGATTAGAAAGAGAGAATAAAATGAATTATGAGTAGATTGAACTTGTCTTAATTATGCTTAGACATTAATATTTATAGGTGAAAGATAAAAGACTATTAAAGAACAATAAAAATATGATTGAGTTGATGTGACATTAAATATATCTAGTTCAAGTCGACATAAATTTTAAAATTATCTAAAAATTTTTAACAAAAAAAAATTATTATATCTTTTTGTCGATCAAATACTCTAAACATAATGAAATCCTTTTTCTTAGTATTTATTTAAAAAAAAAAATAGAATCTGAGTTCTAGTATGTGAATCTTAAACGTTGGTAATGGATATTTTTTTTATTTTTATCACGGAAATTATATAATGAAAAGACAAAAGCTATATGAAGTAGTTGATTTCTCGTTATATGCTTACGGGCCTAACAAAAAACTTATCGGTTTACTTGTGTGGTTAAAAAAGAAGCAAGAAAAATGGGCCAGTACATCACATTTCCACGGAGGGACCAATCAGTTTAATGAAAAGACAAAAGCTATATGAAGTAGTTGATTTCTCGTTATATGCTTATGGGCTTAAAAAAAACTTATCGGTTTACTTGTGTGGTTAAAAAAGAAGCAAGAAAAATGGGGCAATACATCACATTTCCACGGAGGGACCAATCAGTTTAATGAAAAGACAAAAGCTATATGAAGTCGTTGATTTCTCGTTATATGCTTATGGGCCTAACAAAAAACTTATCGGTTTACTTGTGTGGTTAAAAAAGAAGCAAGAAAAATGGGGCAATACATCACATTTCCACGGAGGGACCAATCAATTTAATATTAATACAAAAAAGGTTGCAAAAGGCTAATCAGCCATCACCACATATCAAATGTACTACTAATTTTTGCTGCAGAACTGACAAGCCACGTCAAATGTACTACAAATCATTTCTCCAGAACTGACAAGCTGACACCGCCCTACAATCGTAGGGCTGTTCTATTATGCCTGATTCTTCCATATTTCTGCTACCTTGGCCAGTGATTTTGTGGATGAGCCATCTGGGCTCAGAACCCTTTCGGCGGCATCCTTTAGTTGTCTCATCTTGTTTCTGAGCACTTTCCCTTCTTCCCCCTCAATCAGTCCTTTAACAAAATTTGCAATGTCTTCTCGCCCAACCACCCTATTTTCATTCTCTTTTACCCTCCATGCAACCTTCAAATCATCTGCTAAAAGCACTGCATTCATCTTTTGTTCTGCATAGAGCGGCCATGCAATTAATGGCACGCCGTGCGCAATGGCCTCCAAGGTTGAATTCCACCCACAATGGGTTAAGAACCCTCCGGTTGAGCCATGTCTCAAGACCTCAATCTGAGGAGCCCAAGACGGCACCAGCAGGCCAACCCCTTTGGTCCTTTCCAAGAACCCATCCGGCAAAAAATCGAGGGGGTCTTCGACACTTTCTACACCAAAGTAAGTGGCGTTTCTTGCCTTTTCAGCCGGACTCTTGACAACCCACAGAAATCTTTGTCCACTCATTTCCAGCCCAAGTGCCAATTCATTTAGCTGCTCAAGAGAGAAAGTCCCACCGCTTCCAAAACAGACATAAATCACTGATCCATTAGGCTGCTCATCTAACCACCTTAAACAATTAGACCCATCAACTCCATTGTTTGAACTAATTGAACTTGCTTGTATTAGTGGTCCAACCGGGTAAACCGCTGGTAGACCAAGTTCGCCCTCCATCAAAGCCTTAAAGGCTTCCTCTTCCAAGTCCATAAAGCTATTAACCATAATCCCAGCTGCCAATGGGTAAAGTCTGCATAGCTGAATCATCACTTGGTAGGCCACGTTGTTCTTGTCTTGAACAGCGTCTACCATATCTCTCCCGTGAAACGGCACGCACCCTGGTAACTTGATCGGTTCAGGCAAATCTCTGTACTCACAAGAAAACATGTGATCAAGCTTGGGTAAATTAAACGCCATTTGTAAATTCATAGCAGTTGTAGGAAAGAAAATGTAGGGCTTAAGGTCAAATTCTTTAAACACATCAATTGCGTCGATGCCAAACAGGTCAACAACCAAGGCCACAAGTCGAGTTGACTCAACTAAGACTTTGAGCGAGGTTTTTAGAGCAGGAAGTGACCGAACCAAGCAGAGTGCGATCCTGGTCTCCATCTTGACATCCTCAGGCAAATCTTCAAAACTCACAGGAGGGAGCGAAATGGATGAAATTGATTTGGGTAAAGCTTGAAGGAGTTGTCTTTGGTGTTTCATAGGTGAGCCAACGTTGGGGACAATGAAGGTTACTTCAAAGTTTGGGTACCGGTGAACCAGTACCTTGGCGAATTCAAGGAGTGGGATTAGATGACCCATGCCAGGGGTAGGCACTATGGCTACATGTAGTGATGTTTCCTCTGTGTTTTCCATTGTGGCTAACTGGCTTTAATTTGTTTGTGATGTGGGATATCAAGGGAATGCCGAAGGTGATATAATTTATAGGAAGAGAGATGAAGGACTCTTGGTGGTTTGATTACGAATGCTGACTAATGAGTTTCGTATGATTATGATGTCAGTCTTGCTTTTGCATGATCAAACAGCACAAGAAGTCAGGAATGGTTTACTTTGCAGGACTCGACTAAAAAATTGACTTGATCATTGAACTTTTCTTACATAATGCCATGTAAATGCAAGAGAAATTTCACAATATATAATCAAGTTCGAGCCTTTTTCATCAATCACCATTATCTTTATCTCTTACCAATTTATAATTTATGTAAGAAGAAACAATTTTGACAACAATCAATTTCTTCTGTTGATGAATTGAATTTCATTTAAAAAGTTCATTACCAATAATAAGAATGCAAATTGTATCTACGTTGTTAGATTTTCTTAATGAAGATGAATTTCTAGGATCATATAGGATACAATAGTATGTCTAAAGGTTTAAATGGAGTTAGCATAATTTGAAGGTAAAAAAAGGTCAATTTAAAGTTCGAACCCAGCCATCCCCCTCGCTTTTTATGTAGGGTTCAGCCCCCTTGAATGACCAAAAAAAAAAAAATTAAAGTTTATCTTGTCAGGCCGAGACAAATGCAACGGGAAAAATCAAAGACAACAACTCTAGTGCATCATGTTGGAGGTTGTACCAATCAAGGAATACAAGGCAAAGCCTAATGTTGATACGACAAAAAAAATGAACAATCAAAACAGAGAGAAATAAAAAGGCAGAAACCAAACAAGACAATAGCAGGAAGACAACGACGACGACGTACTAGTTTTTTTTTTTTTTTGAAGATAATTCGGGCACAAGACCCCTTGTGGAGGCTGGGCTAAAACTCAAGCCGACAGAGTGATCCATACCTACTGAAGCCCATTATTGGCCCAACCAAGGAATTTGATTGAATCGTACTGGACCCGTGAACTTAAGCGGAAAGTCCAATCACTATAAACTTCGAAACAACAAGCATAACAATTAACAACATTGTATCGATGTGATCGTACATGACATGACGGAGACTCAAACCTGGGCCTTACAAACAACTAAATAAATAAATAAATAAACAACACAAAAGCTTTCTTAATCTTTCGTGATGACCAGCACGGTACAATTGTCAGTGCCAATATATAATATATTAATACTACCTTTTTTTTTTTGGGCAAATGACTAATAATATATTAAAGGTGGAGCATGGTATTATTTTTCTGGCCCATGGAAACTAATCTTGCCAGCCTTTTACATTTTCCTTTTTGCTCTTAAGTGATATCGGTTTAAATTAGGTGGAATTTGATTTAATTTTTTAGATAATATATAATATTTTAAAATTTTAAATTTTAATTTAATTTAATTTTTTTTTAAATCGATCTTATTAATCAAATTTTAAGTTTAATTTATCAGTTTTTAATTTTTTTAATATTATTTTATTATAATTTTTAATATATTTAAATAAATTTATATATAAAATAATTATTTTATTTTATAAAAATTTTAAAATATATATAAAAACTAATAAATATATATAATTAGGTTCTATTCATTTTTTTCAATTTTTCATATCCAAATTTAAAATTTAATTCTAATTTAATATATTCATTTAATATTTAAATTTAATTCAAATTAAATAAAAAAAAATCGATTCAAACCAAATTATAAACTACAATTTTAAATGATCTTCAATTTTTTCATTTTTTCTCTCCCTCCTACTTCGTCCCCCATTAGTCCCTCCCTACTTCTCTGCCTCCTTAAATAACCATTGGCTCTGGTATTTAATAGACACCATTGAAAAAGGTTGAATCTAAGACTATACAAATCATACGACTTTTACCCAATTTAACCATATTTTAGCTTTGGGCCACAGATACAAATTTGGACATTTCGTCCATTACACGTTCATCCATATAAATGAATATTTGACTTTTTTTTTTTTGTTTAATATCTAAATCTATATACTAGGCTAAGCTGGCTTCAACAAAAAATTAAATTTTTATAACGTGATCAGCTATAATGCAAACAAATATCTTGGGTAATTCTTTTTGTTTTAAGCGTTAACTGTCAATTTTCAGATGCAGATGGAAAATGGCTAAGGCCAAAAATTTTCGGTAGTGGGTTGTACACATCCACTCCTAATTCTTACCTACCAAGACAACAGAAGGAACCCTTAACTTTGCTTCTTCAAATAGTTCCCTTTCCCACAAGGTATACAATTTAAAAGATAAAACCCACGGAAAAGCAAAATCAAGCAGCTGATTGACAATGAACTACCATTAAAACAACAGCTCAAATTGTTAATGTAAAAATTAAGTATGGGTTATCAACAACTGTATAAAAAATAAATAAAGATTATTTATTTTGCTTTTTGAACCAAAAAGCTGGCTGCTTTTATGATAACTAATCAACAAGTAAAGATGTAATATTGGCCACTTAAAGAGATAAAGAATTTGATTGACACATCGCTGCTGGTTAGCTTCTAACTTTGTTTGCCATTAAGCAAAGCAATTCCTTCAGCTGTCTTGTATAATTAAAGAAACGACTTTGTGTTAATCATGCTAGCGGGTGTAATAAGGGCCATGGGCGGAATAGATACACCTACATGCATTTTTTTTATAAAGAAAATTGCAATCTAAGGATAAGGGGAAGAACAGGTAAATATAAAATCATTTGATTACTAAAGTAACAAGTGACGTTTCTATAAAAAAAAAAAAAACGATGTAACAAGTGACAATTGTTCATTTATTTGAGAAATTACCAAGTACTGATCCTAAATAGAAAAGCAAATTATTATACTCCAGAAAAGGCCAAAGAGAAAATTTCCTAGCTCTTCTTAGGTCATAGGTTCATAAATTAAGAAAAAAAATCTTGAAATTCCATGCATAGTGACCCCATACATAAGGCAAATGAATAACCCTTCCATATAAAAGGCTTGTATAAATGATTTCTTTCTGGCTTTTCAGCAACAAAAACATGTTTCAATTGGGCAAAACTTGGGATCCATACTTGAGCACTACCCCATTAACTAAAGGTCACTTCATAACCAGAGAAAATGGCTTGAGGAATTGCAGTCACTGGAGTAGGTAGAAAATTTTTCATCCCTTAAACCCATGTGGGATTAATTAACTAATAATCCAAGAGGCTAATCATGAAGTTTAACCAAACAAAGGGAAGAAAACAAATAAAGAAATTAAATGACCCTATTGATCTATTGATTAAACAGATACAGCTGATGATCATAGTTTAGATCACAAGAAAGGGTCAAAGTTCAAAACTTCAAGTAACGTAGCCTTAAGGAGAAAACTTCCTAAAAAAACTTAGAGATACGATCAAAATATACACAAACTATTTGATCACATCTTCGTTATTCAGATATATATTCTGTATAATTAGCTTCTTTAAATTTTGTATATTAAGCACATGAAATACCGACAGTCGAGGCTGCAGTGAACCTTTCTGATTCAGTTCTCTTAACAACCAATGAGTTAATCTCTGGTGAAAGCCCTCCAAAATCAATCTCGGGCACCTCAGGGATCGTTGTCAGTGCACCTGTCTTGTCGTAAACCACGTAGTACTCCTCGTGCGATCTTTGTTTCAACCACAAAACCGAAGAACTCGAAGTTTGTTTGAACTTGAACATGGATTTGAAGAGTTTCTGAATCGAGCGAGAGAACTTCGAAGGCTGCTTCTTGGAAACTGGAGGCGGAAGAGTAGAGTAATGTGGGGTAGGAGGAAACGGAGATCGAGCATCATCGATTAAATGAGGCATGGACATGGTTCTTGAATGGATTGCGGTGTCGAGTTGACGCTTGAAAGAGTTGAGTTCAAACGAGTCATAAAGAGTGCTACCACAATCCCATACAAGATGCTTGCCCTCTTGGGTCTTCTGTATTTTTCGTTTGGCCTCTTGGGTTTGGCTTTGCTTCTGTTCTTGAGGTTTTTCCTTCTTCTGTTTGGGGTCTTGGGTTTGGTTCTGCTTCTGTGCTTGGGATTTCTCCATCTGTTTTGGTAAGATATGAATGAGAGGGAACAACACAAAAACAAAGGTACCAGAGAAAAGAAACGTTTCTATATAAGTGGGAAGATCTGAGAGAAAAAGTGAGAAAAAAATTTTAAAAATTGATTTTCTAATTGACGGTCTAATCAAACGCGTTAGTGCTGGCAAAAAAAAAAAAAAAAGTGAGTTGCTGCCTTCACGGTCTCTTCATATGGACCATTAAGAACTTTCCATGAGGTGAAGATTGCATTTATCGAAGGAGAGAGATTAGATTAGATATTTTTCAATTGTATCTAATCTCATTGCATACTAAATTTTCAGATTAATTTAAAATCTTTGAAAGTTTGAGAACTTCCTAATCGTTCATTCTTTTTTCTGAACAATTATCCCTAATTAATCACTTTTCTTTCAGATAAATTATATGCATGACCAAATACAATTATATGTATGACAAAATTAACAACTAGTTTATATCTGATGCATCAATGAATTTCACACTTGGCTGCCAATGTTTTCTATTTGATTGTTTTTATGGTTGGAAAACTTAGGCCATTTTAATGGGTTTTGTTACATTTAATGTTCAGTCAATAAAATCAATCTTTATACTTTTGTTAAATCAACACACATTTAATTATTTCATCGTTGTTAAAAAATATCAATGTTCAGACTCCTCACCCAAATACGAGTTCTCTTTGAAAATTTACTCACTCCAAAAACAGCTCATTCAATTATTTTCACTAACATTTTATTAATAAGTTACTTCATAATAAATTAAATATCTTTTAATTTGATTAAAATTATTAAATATAATTCATACTCACTCGCGTAGACTGTTTTAAAGTTTTACATAAACTTTTCATCGATTATTATTAATTTTACTCGTCTCAATCCCATTCATCTCTTATATAAGATAAAAAGATGATCTAAATATATATTCTAAATCTTTTATCTTTAAGTTTTTTTTTCATATTCTCTACAATTTATCTTTTTCCTCTTAAAAATCTTAAAAGATTTTATCGATTTGAGCATGAAATTTCTTAATCGTATTTTTTTTATAGTAGATTCACATCAACCCAACCCACCTTCCAGCTCACCTCTACACCATCACATGTTTTTAAACAAAACTATAGACGAGCCTGAAAATTTTTAAAGATAATTGAACTAGAAATTGAAATGTTTTTTTTTTTATTCAATATTTTCAATCCTTAGTAAAAAAATGTGAAACTTGATGAGTCATATCTGATATTTAGATTGTTGAATAACACTCCCTTCTGGTCTCTTTTAGTCTCCTTTGACCCTACGTACACGGATTGAACAGTTGTTTACTTTGTTCAATGTTTTCTTTTTAATTCGTCAATGACATCATTGAGATATTGATCATGCTAGTGATTGGTGTGAATAATATAAAACTGCTGACATATTTTTCAGTTCAAGAGATAACAGTTTGATTAAAAAATTATAAATATTAAAATTTATATAATATTTTAATGTAAATATTTATATAGCATATTTATATTAAAATTATAAATATTTATATAATGTAAGGTTTCTAGAATCCTTACATTGGTTTTGGACTTTTTCTACTTTTTTTTTCTTTTTACCAGTTATTGTGTAAACAGGGAATGTAGCTTCAGAATTGGTTAGAATTGTCCATCTTCTTACATTGTTTTTATTCAGAAGTTGGATTTTACAATGACAAAAAAAAGAAAGTATATGCTATATAGCTTGAGAATTGATGTAATTTCAATGTAAAAATATTATACATAATTGTTAAATTATATAATAGTATATCATAAAATTAATTTTAAATATATTTTTTAAGAAAAAATATATTTATTTTGTAAATATATGTCATAAAAAATTAAACATTTATATTTTAAAATTAAATTTTACTAAATGTCTAATTTAATGCGACTATTCTTTAAAAAATGTATCAAATATTTATCCAAATTGCCAAAGAATAAAAAAGAACAAGTATTCACGCAAAATTTTATCTTTGTTGATGTGTAATTTTAATAAAGAAGTTTTCAATTTTACAAAAAAAAAAAAAAAAAAACGAAAAGGTTGATGAACTTGATCGTGAACCTGACAGAAACATTGTATCTAAACATGTCTTTTCCAACAATGTTTTTGTTGTCAACAACTATCAGTGACATTTTTTTTTATATTTTTTTCTTTTCTTTTATATAGTAGTAGTATATAGGTAAAACTAAGTGACAATAACCGACGGAGTGACTCTTAGTGGGAGGATGTTTATGGATTTTTTAAAATTGAAAATTATAAAATTTTAAAAATTAATTGGATATTTTAAAATGTTTTTTAAGGATAATCTCAATGATAATTTTTTTTTGATATCATCAAATTAATAAATTTATTAACAATTTTAATATATCTATTATAAACAAACACTTTAGAAAAATTTTAGATCCATCACCAAAAATAAAGATATATAATATAAAAATAAAATTTTTATTAAAAATCATGATGGATAACCTTGTATTTTTTTTATTTATAATTTGTATAAAATAAATATTGCATATTTACAATGAAATTAAATTTATAAAGATTAATTTGTTGTTTATTATGCTGTTTTTGTAAAAAAGAATCTTATCTAATTCACTAATTCATAAGAAAATATTAAATTTTTGTAGTTAAAAATTATTTTAGGAGGAGTCTCTTAAGTAGATAGTGGTTGATAGAGTAATCTTTAATTGTAATTTTCAGTGTGAGTAGTAGGTGCAAGGCAAAATTTATGATTGGTAATAAAACACTGATCACCTGCTGAGATCTAATTTGATTTCATAATTCATGAGATATTTTTTTTACAAAGTTTTGTTATGACATTTATAACTGCCTCGAGTTTGGGGACAACGTGACAAATAGATATCATAGAAATTAGCTTATTGATTTTCGCAATAGAGTTTAGGGGACAACCTGACAAATAGATATACAGAAATTAGCTTATTGATTTTCGAATAGTACTAAATCAGTACTAAGAATAATGATGTGAATAGAATAATAATTTTTGTCGATTCAAGTGAAAAAAAAAATAATTTTTTAAGCAAAATTTCGATTTAAATATTATAAATAAAAAAATAAATGTTTAAAAATTTTATTTTTTTATAAACTATAATCAAAAATCAAAATAATTATCGACATAAAAAGTACCAGACAAAAAAAAATGATGTAAACAAAATGTTAACAATTTTTTTTATAAATACTACTACTAAACTTCTATGGCAAAAACCCCATGATTATGAGAGTTGCAAAGAACACGATCCATGATTTTTAAACTTTGGAATTTGACCACTAACCTAATACAGGTCTGCTTGGTAAGAGGAGGAAAGAGAGAGAGAAAGTGGATGGTAAATTTTTACTTTGAGAAAGAGAAAATTAGTTGAAGAAATTAAAGATGGTAATTAAAATTATCATTTTCTATTTTAATTGTTGTTTAAAAACCAATCTTTCAAATTAATTAAGAATCATAACAATAAATAATTTTGTAGGAGAAAAATCAAGAAAAAATGAGTGACAAAAATTTATTTTAACCTCTTTCACTAATTTTTTTCTTAACATATTAATGCTAGCATTGATTAGAAGTATCTATTGATAATGAAGAAACCTTTTCATTGATTAAATATTCTCCGTAAGAATAATTTGTACAAGTCTTTTCAGTCTATTGATTAATTGTAAGAACATGTCTTAACCAGTGGTTGCACCTGGAGAGATAATATCTGTAGACGAGATAAAAATGACTTGAGTTCATCATAACTCTTGCAGTCTTGCTGACCTGAAGAAAGGGAGCTGAAATATATATATATATATATTATATTATATAAATCAGGACATGCTTCTTTCACTTCCGGAGTTCCATCTAAAATGGAGACAGAAACAAGTTTTAGAATTCGGATTGCTGCTAATAATAGATTAAAAATTCTAATCTTCTCACATGGAACAGAGTTTTAAAGCTATTTACAATATCATACCACCAGCACAACATATCTTCTGAAGGTGCATTCTGCAAGTTTCAGGTTTCAGAGGCTTAACTTTCTAAAGAGAATATGCCCTTCTGTCATGAAACGTTGCTTCCTTTGATGCAAATAAAAAACCAGCAGGACTGAATTGGGACGTTATTGGTTCTATTGGTAACTCTGCCAGTTAGTTCATTCTTGCAATTTTGAATAACTATTCAACTTGTTTTACTGCAGTGTGGCATCTCCAACCTTGATCTGGTTCGGAATAGGGAACTTAAGGCTGACTTGTAACAAGGTTTTATGTACTATTTGCGTTTCCTCTATTGACTTTAACCCAACAAAAGTTACAATAATCTGGGTTGTTCATACACACTCAAATCAATTAAGGCAAATAACTATGCCTCATCTAAGCTTTATGTGAAGAAAAATGAGAGACAAAGGGTTTCTTGAGATATGAATGGGCTAGTTGAGAGGAAGAGCGGGGGGTGAGGGGGCGGCGCAACGGTCTGATTTTTCGAATTCATAAGAGAGGCGGTGTGTCCAGGTTTAAAATATTTTGACCATTGAAAGGGATTGTTTGGCTTATTATGAACAATCCCCAGAAAGAGCCTCCATTAAGGAAGTAATAAGAGACCACCTAATCCCTGGTTTGTGAAATGCAGATTTGAGGTTGAAAATGTAGAATTCTGGGACAAAAAATTAGCCAAAGTTTTTGGACAATTTGATTCGTTTTCAATGAACGTGGAGATTGTCCAGGCTAATGCAACGAGTACAAGTTCTCAAATTATGTATACAGCAACAGTCAATCATTGAATTTTAAGAATCGAAAGTTACTATTGCTAATGCATGGATTACAAACAAGTATTACTATTTCTATTCATGAATTCTGTTCCTATCTATTAATCCTTGTATGATCCAGAGAAAGGTGAAAGAATCAGCGGACGAAAACAGAGGAACCACTAACATTCAATAAGGTAAAATGCCATGGTTCATCTAATAGCTATGAAAAAGCATCACCTCAGGTTCGCAATTTGTCAAAATCTCTAAGACAAACCAACCTCCAACAAATCTCAGGAGATTTTTTTTTTTAATCAACCATTAACCACCATCTCCATGATCACATCATTCCAAAAGTCCATTGGTCCAGGTAAACACCAATGTAGACAGTCATTCTGAACGACTGCTGTTTTGTTCTCTGCAAACGGCTGAAACTGACGGTATGGACCTGGGTGTCCATCAGGCCTCGATAATAAGAGATTTGTGAAGTCAAGAAGCTTAAGATTCACCTCATTATCAGCAGCTTTTGCTGATGCTTTCTCAAACTCTTCCAATTCAATGTTACGTAGAATTTTGTTCAAGTCCTTTAATTCAATCTCTCCTTCTTTAGCTGGTGTTATCTTCGGACAAGTCCCTCCATTATGCCATTCCCCATTCTCAAAGTGATCTGGCGTGGACGTCCTAAAAAAGATCAAACCCTTATGCTTTGATGCAGCAATGAAGTCCATAACATAGTGGAGGGTTTTGTTGTAAGCATAGACAAATCCTAATTCTGTCAGGTTTTTTCCTGGACATATATGGCAGCCAACTAAGGTGTCATTCTCATGGTAGATTGCAGCCTTGAGAAACCATTTTCCAGTCGAGATTATCATGTAATCTAAGCTCTGGTAGACATCTGTCCATGTCTTATCAAGTTTGTCCAGATGCAGCTGAACTTCAGCTGTAGAAACACCGTTGTTATCTTCAAAAATAGCAGCCTTTACAAGAAAAGGAGACCAAATATTTGATATTGTGAAATTGTATGACGGGAAGTGCCATCTCTTTGATTTGTACTCCTCATCATGGTAAACTTCAACAGGTCGTTCAACCTGAATGTTTTACGGATAAACATCATTAATAACCCAACAATAAAACAACACGTTATGAACAAGAGAGATAGTTTTACTGACCACCATAGACAATATACAATTGTTTGATGACAGGTAAGAATAGCAGAATAATTCTCTGTTCACTGTTAAATATAGAATAAATTGCTAGGCCACTAAAGTCATAAACATCACAAAACAAATCAGAAAGTAATACAGCATAAGATTTCAGGTGCTTATTCAGGAAAGATAATAGATATAGAAGTTAAGTCGAAACAACGGCCATGTGGACTGCACTTTTCCTATAAAACTCATTATAATGACAAAATGAATCTTTTTTTCTTTTATATATAAGTATCGATGAAAAGCTTCTTGCTTTAGCAACTCCACAACTATTGGGAGTCGATAATAGATCTTAAAACATATGCTGATGTAATCAAAACCTCAGGTAAAAGATTGCAAACTAAGGCCCAATAAATCAGCCATTTTATCAACCCCCAAAGTGATTTCCGTATTCCCGCAATCAGGTCTTTGCCTTTATATGCTTACTTGATCCAGCATTTTTCTAGATGACCATCCCATTTGACTCAACAAACTTACAGAACATAGCAAAGCAACTAAAAGAGCAAGAAATATGACAGGGTTATCAGCTACCAAGTACCAAGAACAGCACTAGTGAAGCTCAATCCTTTAAAAAAAAGGATACATAAGTGAGAAAATATCAAGGTCTTGCTTAGTGACAATGTTTTTCGCAAAATGTTTTGTGCTAGTGTCTTGTGTATCAGCTATCTGAGCATAATAGAATGCTGATGTTTATCAGCACGAGTGATTCAGTAATATCAGATACAATCAACAACAAAAAAAGCACATAAGCATGTTGATGCACAGTATTTGCGAAATCTTTAACATGCAACCCTTAGAAAATGCAGAGCAAACACTTCACAGGATTCTACAAAATCCCCAAATTTCCCGATCTTTCTAATTTAACATCAAAGTGCAAGAGTCATCATTCATACAAGCCTAGCATTTAAGTTCGTTACATTAGTTACCAAGCCAGCATATCAACTATTGAGGAAATGATAACCATAAAACTACATAGGAGTACAGATGCAGTTAACACAAGAGCAACGACGAACTGAATTAGCTTAGCCACAAAATCAAATGATAATCCTGTCAAATTAAAATAGGTTGTAGAGGGAAAAGTGTTACAAACACTAGCAAACGCTAAATAGTTTCTACACTAAGATAAACTCCTCATTATTTAGCTGAACTAGTTAGAAATGTTTGTCACTATAAAACCAACAGATCAGAGTGGCCAGCATAAGCATGGTCAGCCAATAAGGACAGGTCCCATGATCAAAACCTGGCTTTGATAACAAAGTAGCTTTGCTAGCCAATATTCTCTTTTCCCTTCATGAAACCTAACATAACTGGTTTCATCTATTTCCTTCTGAGAGGGAAAAAGAGGACTAATCTTGATCTTATCCATCTACTTGTGGAAGAAATCTACTAGCATAACAAGCATGCAGATAACCATATCACCCAAAGACAGTGTTAAAAATTGCTATTACTATCGAAACACATACTGTTGAAAGCATGCAAAGCAATGACTGCACATGGTTGCGAGATATGGAATCACCAATCAAAGCCCATGCTTTATTTCTCATCAACTTAAGAAATCTCTTTGCATTAAATTGAGATAACTGACAGTCATGCGGCTTCCACTTCCAGTATAGATATCCAGAATCAGGGCGGCCATTCCTCATACAATTTTGATGACCTTCTATCAAGGGGCAGCTCTTGTTGGTGTAAGTCGGCCCTGAGGGATTGGGAATCCAATCCCCTGTAAAGAGATCACACTTTTCTGTAACAATATCTGGTGCAACCATAAGTTTAAACGGTTAAGCCAAAACATTAAAACCAAAAGAATCAACAAAATCTTGTATGTGAGATATCAATAACAAAAGCAATAGTGGCAATTTAATTATGTATGGCAATATCAATCAACTAAAGAAATGCAGTATCACAATACTAACAAGAAGCTCCATCAATCAATCCCACAAAAAGGACAGTTTCATCAACAATCAGCACCAGTTATTCACAAATTATAGACACTAAAATTGTGGAAACAAAGTAGGTAAAAGCATCAATCAATTAATGTAAAATTACAGTTAGTCAATAATCAGAACAAGTCCACCAAAATCCCAGCATTCTACACGAACATAAATCAACTTAGAAGATACCCATAAAAAATTTTCAATCTTTGTAATCAAAAACAATATTTTAAATAGTAGATCAGCAAATCTCAGAATACCAACTCTACATACAGCTGATTCTATGTCAATGAAAAGAAAGAATACAAAAAAAAAAAAAAAACCAACACAGGGAAGATCCATATTGAGTTACCTAGAGGTACCTGATCTTCATTGTCAGGTATTTCAACAGGGGGAGGTTTCAAGTCTGGCTTTTGAACATGCTCTTCCTCTAACACAGGGGATTCTGAATCAGATGCAAATCCTTTAGAACGAGCAACGAAGAGCCTAAAAGCAAGACCCACTAAGAATATGGCAACTGCAAACTTTACAAGCAAGTGATGATGCTTGTTCAGAGACCATGACTTCCATTTCATTCTCATTTTTTTTCCCCCTTTTCCCGCTTTGTTTTGTTTCGGGAAACTGAAATGGCCGGCACTTCTTTGGGTGCTTCTCTAAATTTGGGTAGTGAATCAAAATCCAATTATCGAGCAGGGAATACAGGTTACCGACATTGGATTTTCTCCTTTATTACATGGTTATATTACGGATATTAAAGTTTTTTTATTTGGTAGATGGGTTTTCTTTTTGCTTTGTTTTCAATTATTAAGTAATTATTAATCTTTGTTAACTTTGTTTTATCTTATTTATATTTGGCAGGTGGCCGCTAGGACAGTTGGATTACTGGTCAATGATATATTTTTAAGGGCAAATAAGAACATGATGGGTTGATAAAATATTATATTTTTAATTTCATATTATGATTTAATTTGATAATCTTGAATATTTAAAAAATTGATTATTACTATTAATTATTACTGTAATTATGATTCAATCTCAAATATCCAAACAAAAAAGGAAGTGATTATTACTACCTATGTATTAATTAAAAAATAAAATGAAGTATGGATTAAGTTAATGTTCAAAGAAAGTTAACCTACCCTTCATAAAAGATAGGTTAAAAAAGCAAAGGCTAATAGAGCAACATAGAAAAATAACAGGTTGATAGTTAATGCTTATACGAGGATGTTTCAATAAACTAGCTATTTTAATATGAATATATGATGTCATTCTTTAGAAAGAAATTCTTCTGTGATTAATGAACCAAGGATGTTTGTCTTTGTTCTTCGCATACATTTTATAATGGCACAACGAAAACATCCTAAAAACATTCATGTTCTTTGACATGATTTAAACCTAGACTTTATTCAAACATCCTAAGAACTGGATCCTTTTTCTCAAATGCAAGAACATGGGGAACAAAAATCTTTGTTTTTGGTTAAGAACTTTAAGTTATTGAATTTGCCTTTTTCACTTTCTTCTGGCTATATTTGCTGGCAAATTTCAATCTTTTGGTAAAATCTTAGTAGTTCCTGGATAGAACAAACCAATATTCTAGCAAAAAGAACAGTGTTTTCTATTTTCTATTCATTAAAAAAAAAAGGAAGTGTTTTGATCTGTCGGCAAACATTGTTTACAAAAGTGGTAATTCTCTCTTCCTTTTTATTTATTTATTTGTAGCATTGAGATCCAACAAGAGACCTTAACAGCAGATTGTTGTACACATTTGCAGTAATATTCCCTGGTTTACCAATTTTGCGGTAATGGCCAGGTTAGTTCTCGTGGCTGATAGCGAGAATTTCAATACCTACCCTGAAAGTTACATGAGTTATATCCATAAAAAAGCTTGTAGCAGTTGCGAATAGGTGTCAGAGAATAGAATACAATAAAGAAGAGGTCGCTTCAAGGTTCCACCCCCATCTGTCATACTATCTTTTTTTCATTTATTTTTGACATTGACCTCTTCCCTTCCTATCTTTTGAATGAATCAATAAATTCATTTAATCTGTGGGATGCATGCAAGAAAACAACTGAGAATCTTGTTCTGCTCTAAGCCATTACCATTGAAGGGCAAGTTTGATGTGCAAAACCTTTCCTACAAGTTTTACCTAACATTTAAAAGGAAATGGACAATTCATCCTTTTACTATCTTAGCCAAAACTTGTATGCCCAAAGGCAAAATCCAAACATTCTACCATATTAGTAACACTACGGTTCTGATTGTAAACAAGCTGCCAAGAGCTCAAAATGTCCTGAATGAGTAACTATGATTCATTTACTACATGAAATATCACTGGGGCCTCACCAGATCATTTATGATGGTTGAGAGGCAATTTTACCAAAAAAAAAAAAAAGTCAAATTCTAACTTGGAGGTTCATTTTAAGCCTTGAGCATGGAGTATGGATCGATTTCAGCCATGGTGGTCTAGTTGTGAGAAGCTTTGAATGAGATGATAGTGATGATTGATGAATCAACAACAAGAACCCAGGGCTCGCCTCCCAGGCCAGGACATCCGTGCTCTCAACAGTCCAACTCCAAACTCTGGCTAATTCCTACAGCTTAACGTGGGAACTGGGGTGGGGTAGACTATTCCTTTTAATTCTACGACTAGCTCACCTTATAAAATTATTAATTGACACTAATCGGCCTGTTTTTCTTTCTTTTCCTTTCTTTCTCTGTGTTAGTTTTATGCATCTTGTTCACTTTAAAATCATTTTCAAATCAAATCTTAAAAAAGTCTAACCTACAGAAAACTTTGTTTCCAGCTGTTTTCTCAAATCAAATTATGTAAGACGGTTGCCAATGACCTGGTCTATTTTATAGAATATATATATATATATATATATATATATGTGTGTGTGTGTGTGTGTGGTGGTCTCAAGCCCAATTAACTGGTTCAGTTTGAGTTGGTGTCTAATGGATTATGAAATGGGTAATTTAAGGTTAAAGTTTCAGGGTTTAGATTTCAAGCCCGCTTCAAGACATAGCCCAGAAGAATCTTACGCCATGAAGATTGAATATATAAGCCAGAGGCCAGAAGAATGAGGCTCAATGGATTCTTATGCCTGCTTCAAGAAATAGCCCACTTTGCTTCATTCATGTTTCCTATACGAGAATTCTTTGAGATTCATGTTTTGCAAAAGATTTATGTTTAGGATTTCGCCTGAAGAAAGATTTGCCGAAGCAAAATTGATCTTCACTTCAAAGTATATATAGTATGAAGAGATTGAAGAAAGAAAAAAGACCCTTACCCTTGAGTATGTATATCTCATTGCTTAGATAAGCCAGCATTGCTACGAACAAAAGCAATAGAGCTGAAAACTCGCCTCCATTGTTATATTTCTTCAATTCTACAGCTTCTAGCTTGCATAAAGTACTAACCCTATTACACAGTTTAGCGAATCTCATTTCGCTTCTCGTTTAATCCTCATCTTCCAGAGTATCCACCTCACAAAATTCCTGAACAATCCTACTCCATGAAGATTGGCCATTTCCCCCTCAAATCTTCCTTCTTCTTTGGGCTTGTTTGATATGATTCTGAACTGCATCGACGGCCTGCAAGGATATGGAAAGGCCATGGTGTGCCTCTCCAGGACATGACCAAATGAAGCCAATTCATATGAATCATAGAGAGGACTCCCAGAGTCCCATATGCAATCACTTTCCTTTTGCTCTGATGATGTTAATGATCTTTTCTTCTCCATGACAAAACTCTAAATTGGGATTCTGGACACCCACGGCTAGCTCTTATTAATTGTTCTTAAACTTCTCAAACGTTTTGGTTTAGATCAAGACATGATGTCACCTCGGCTTGTCTTGTTAAAGACAATATAACCAGTCAAATTCCAACGCTTGGAGCACCGTTATTGGGGCTTTCAGCTTGTTAGTAGTTGGAGTTGTTGCATTAAGTATGCCATTAGTACATGCTCATTTACTCATCTTATGAATCATATTAAATCAAAGGACGGTGGCAACCTAACATTTTTTGATTGATCGGATGGGCAAATGAGAAAAGGGCTAAACGAAAAACTGAAATGCCCTTGTTGAGCATTGAACTTGTTCAGTTTAATTATTCAATCAAGTCACACACCATAGGAAAGTATGCAGATAGACCAAAAATGGTCACGCATGGGCCTGGTACAGCACCGAATTAATAAATTTGCAGTTCTGCAAGTGTAGTTTCTGATAAGAATTGGGTTTGTGAATCTTCTTGCAAAAGGCCAAGAACAAGAGAGAAGGAAAGTATCTTTATCAAGCGAGCCATGGACAAAGTGGGAAGGTTGAGAATCATTCAGCACAACAATCTAAAAAATCTGAAATGTACCCATCCATATAGAGATTAGTTCTGCCCTTAGACAGTTCGTTCGAATTTAAAAATTCATTTAAAATTTTAAAAAATTTAGATATGAGTATTAAATTCATTAAATGAATTTAAACATATAAATAAAATTTGATAAAAATAAAATTGATTTAAATTTTATTATTTAAAATGTGAGCTCGATCCATTTGATTCAAAAATTAAAATATATTTTTTTATCATTATAACATAAAATTCATTTATTTTATTTTTTATAATAAATAAAACATACTTATTTTATCATTTATAATGTGATAAAACATATATTTTTTATTTAAATTAATAATTTAATTTTAAATTATATTTAATAAAATTAAATTGAATTCAAACTCAAATGACTCATAAATTTAATTAAAATTAATTAAATTAATTATTTACAAAAAAAATACTCTTTTCTAATTTAAATTTTATTATTATATATAAAATTAAATTTAAATAAAAACTGAAACCTAAAAAATTAAATCGAATCAAACTTACTCTTATTCAAAATATTAAAATATCATATCAGATTCGACTAGATCGAGCCCGGCGTTGCCCGTACATCAGCAACAATACCCATCGCATTCCACTACACGTTTTTTTTTCAGTTACGAATAATGCCCTTTCCTTTTCTCTGTATAAACGGCTGGAAAATCACAGCTCCAACTTGCAGCAAAAGAAAAGAAAAGGCTAGGTTCTGTATTCCTTCCAATTTTTCACTCTGCTTTCTTTTCCCACCATTAAAAATTTTACTACAGTTAGTTATTTTATAATCGTCATTTGATCATTATTCATTAAGTTCCCATTTTTTGGTGTATGCTATTAGTTATTCCAATGCTCGTTTCACCATTTGTCTCCTTGTTCTTCTAGTACAGAGATTCAACTTAATCTCTATTCTTGGTTTTGTAAATGCTGATGATAATTAGAGCTGTACGTATTTTGCATGTTTTCCTAGAGTATCTGTATTATAGTATTAGTTTCTTTCTTTTACAGAGTGTAGACTGCTGGGATTTCCTTTTCGAACCTGAAGGTTCAGAATCCACATAATATAAAATACAATGGAACAATCCAGGGTTTGAAATATATATGGAAAACTGAGGGTTTCAGGGGAATGTCTAAAGGCAATGGTACTAACTGTACTCGCATGATTCCTAACTCAGCAGTAGAGTTTTTTAGCTATGAGGAAGCATCTAAGTAAGCCTTTCTGGTTCCTGTCTTCACTATTAACCTTCACTTGTTGTTATCACAATTTTTTTCACATTAGTTAAAGGATGCATTTGTTAATGTTCAAAATGTGAATATATAACCATGAATAATTGTATACAAAGTATAAACTAATCTCTTCCTTTGTACTTCTTTTTTAACATAGGGGGATTTTATACTTCTACCGGCAGCAATCAGGAAATGGTACGCCTGTTTCCTTTTGCCTTTGTGATTGCTGTTTTTTATTTATCTCTCAACTACACTTGTAAACGTTCTTGAGATTTGAAGCTGATTGGTATGATTTAATTTCATTGACTATACAATTATTGAGGCAAATGTGTACTGCTTGTGAACTTAGTGTTTTGAATATCCAATTTTGTGTCCAAAGAAAAAAGTGCACTGGATTGTGTTGACAAAGGCTGTGCATGTGCATTGCTTTCTGTCTGCATGTAGCCTGTGAAATATGTGAATGAATCTTTTGTTGGTTCCTGTAGTGGCATTCTATTCCTTCAACTAATTCATGTTTCATTCTGTATAGAATAGTGCTGAGAGGGGAAAAATGGAATCTGTTATATGGCCCTGATTAGTAGAAGATGAGTTTGCATTCTGTACTAATTATCGATATTGTGGTTAGCATATTTACTTATTACTTTCTTCATCTAATTTTGTCTTGCAGAGGATGCTCAACTCACTCCACTTCTACGCCTTGGAGCTGGTTCATGTGCTGGAATTATCGTCATGTCTGCCACTTATCCAATGGATATCGTATGAGGTCATCTAACTGTCCAGGTAATGTTTTGAGTTTCTTTCTGGGACCTTAATTTATTTGACTTATATTGGATCAACTCTGTTTTGCCTTTAGGGACAGGCTTGCCTCTTGTGATCACTTTGATGACTAATGTCCACATGCTATATTTGCAGACTGAGAAGTCGCCTCACCAGTATAAAGGAATCTTCCATGCTCTTTCAACAGTATTATGGGAAGAAGGTCTCCATGCTTTGTACAAAGGTTGGTTACCATCTATAATAGGTGCTGTAAGTAAAACTTTTGTGGCCTGAATGCCTGCATGGTTTACTGTCAATTGCACTATAGGAATCTGCATTCAGATGGATGTAGACTTATGCTAGGAAGATGAGTTGCATTTCTGGTTTGCTTGAGCTAGTGTTTGTTTGTTGGTTTTTATATGGCATATATCTGTTCATTGCCAAACAATTGAAGTCCAATGTCTGATCCTTTTTGCTTTCTATTTGTTTTGACTTTTAGTAATGAAAGAATCTTTCTCCTTCTGTTTGAATGCAAAGCCCTAAATTATTTTTATGATGTTTATAGGTACCCCACGTGGGTCTTAACTTTGTGGTTTATGAATCTTTGAAAGACTGGTTGCTCAAAAGCAACCATTTGGGCTAGTTGAGGAGGTGCCACGACAAGGCTTGCTTGTGGGGCTGCTGCTGGAACTGTTGGCCAGACAGTTGCGGGCTGGAAATATGCTGCTTAAGTTGTCACTGGTGAAGGGAAGAACAAGGCCCCCCTTGAATATGCCGGTATGGTTGATGCATTCAGGTAAACAGTTCGGTATGAGGGTTTTGGAGCATTATACAAGGGTTTGGTTCCCAATTCAGCGAAGGTTAGTGTAACGTCTTTATCTCCACATGCAATCAACTTCTCTGATGCACCAATTGCTTTTTCTTTATTCATTAATCGCACTTTTACAGGAGCATTAGCTCCTTGCATTCTACTAATACTTCTTACCTTTTTTCTTTAAATTTAAATAATAAATGCTCTTTGCCATTTTCTTCAGGTGGTTCCAGCAATAGCAATCGCATTTGTCACATACGAAGGGTATCTGATTGAAGGAACTCCAAAATCTTTGGTCAATCTTGTGTGTTCATTTTGGTGAGCAGAAGGGAAGGAGTATAGTATGAGGAATTACTTTGCTTTCAGCTTTGTTGATATTTCTTCCTCAAAGCCATCTTCTTCAGTCTTTAGGTTTTTAGCTTTCATATTCCTATATACTGTGCCAATAAGTATGTGAAAACCAGAGAAAATCCTAATCGAACGGTTTTTTACAAGGTTTATTTATCGACAGTCCAATTGGTTGAGATAAAAAAATGGAATGAAAAATGTCTTGGAATTCCTCTAGGTTGCCCTCTGGAATCTGACAGTTTTCAAGAGTATTTCCTTAAGATCATCGCAGCGGCTGCGGTGATAATCAATCCACAAGCACAGCTGCCTAATGGCCTCTCTCTTCTCCTCTCCTAGACCCAGTATACCTTGATCCTTCTCTTTCATTACCGTCTGCAAGGATTCCACCTTCTTCTCCAGATGATTCACGGCTTTCAGCAGATTCTCCTTCTCACCTTCTTCCTTGTTTGCCTTAATCTGTAGCTTCTCCACTCTTTCTCGCATCATAGATTCTTGTTCTTTCTGATCTTTCAGTTGCTCAATCAAATTGGTAACTTCATTTGTTAGCCGCTTCTTTTCACTTTTTGTCTCTTCAGCCCAATGTTTTGCAATTCTTAGCTCTTTCAATGTTTCTTTAATGCAGAGCTCATAGTTTCTATAGCCCTCTTCAAGTTTCTGGATGACAGCTTCAAATCCAGTCAAGTTACTATTAACATTCTCTGAGATATCAGTGATCATCCTGCAATAGGCTTCATCATTCGCAGCAATTATTCCAGACAATGTTGTGATCCTTTGTTCGAGCACACTTTGTTCTTCCAGGAACTTTGCTTCTGCTTTTTTGAAGCTCTCTTCGTTCTCAGTTAGTAACTGTTCCGTGATTCGAAGTTTTTGGTTTGACAAGCGGAGCTTAACTTCAATTGTGCGGACATTCTCAACCAAAATACTGAGCTCATCTCCTTTCATTTCTAAATCTCTTTTCAAGTCTTCAATAATTTGCTCCAAATCAGCAGCTATTTGATTCTTAGACTGAACATTCTTATTGTGCTCTCCTGCCATTTCTTGCATCTTCCTTTCTGTGACTTCAATAATTGCCTTGCAGTCCTGAAATGAAGTTTCAAGTTGTTTGTATTCCTTGCTTAGCTTGTTAAATGCATCTTCTTGTTCTTTTAGCATTCTCTGATGATCTGTAATCTGGTTTATGAAGTCATTTTTCTCATCTCCCTTTGCTTCCAAATCCCTTTGAAGGTCCTCAACCATTTGCTCCAGATCAGCTGCCATCTGACTTTTTGATTCAAAGTTTCTGTGGAATTCTTCCGACATTTCTTCCTTCTTCCTTTCTGCAACTTCAAGGTTTGCCTTGCACTCTTGGTACAAGCATTCAGCGTCTTTGTATTCCTCAGCCAACTTCTTATATGCCTCCCCCTGTTCTTCTAGCATTCTCTGCTGATTGCTAATTTGGCTTACTAGCTCGGATTTCTGGTTCTCCATGTCAGTCAATCTTTCCGATGCTTCTTGTTTCTCTCTCTCAAGCTGCAACTCCAGTTCATTTCTCTGGATCTGTAAGGAATCCAACTCTTGCTGCAAATTGTTGACCTGTACCACTAGGGCTGTTAACTGAGAAGATGTTTCATTCTCTGCGCTTGTATGTTTTTCCTGGAGAGCAGTGAACTCAAGCCCTCTTTCTGCCAATGTTTTCTCTAATTCAAAGATTTGACCCTGCAAACCTACCTTTTCCTCCCTCAACTGACTATTCTCTTCAATTTTAGTTCTTAAGTCCTCTTCCAGTTCACCTTTCAGATTCTTTAGAGAATTGATCTCAAATTCTAGATCCTTCACTTGTGCCAGCAAACCTTCTTTCTCCTGCAGATCTTTCTGTTGATCCTTGATCTTCCTTACTATCTCTTCTTTGGCCTTTTCTATCTCAATCACATGATCTGAAATAGATTGAGTTTTTCTCTCAAGCTGCACTACCAGTTCTGCTTTCTGCCCATGCAGGGACTCCAGCTCCTGCTGCAATGTATTTATCTGACCCATTAAGCTCTTGATTTCGGTCGATGCTTCATCACCTTTCAATACAATAAGTTCTTCCAACTGAGCTTTCTGGGTGCGTAGTGACTCCATGTTCACTAACAGATTGTTGATCTGCACTGTCAAATTCTCCACTCTAGACAATGATTCTTTCTCATTATCCTCAAATTTCTTTGTGAGAGATAAGAGTTCTTCTTCTCTCTTTTTTGACATCACCTCAAGTTCAGAAATTTGGGATTGCAGTCCCATGTTTTGCTCTCCAAGCTGTTTTGATTCACTTGCTTTGTTCTCTATCTGCAGCTCCATATCTCTGTTTGTTGCCTGCAAAGATTCCAACTCGAGTTCCAAGCTTGTCACTTGTGCCTCTACTTCTTTTATCTGAACCTGTAAACCCACATTTTCCTCCCTCCGCTGACCATTCTCTTCCATTTTAGTTCTCAAGTCCTCTTCCAGTTCACCTTTCAGATTCTTTAGAGAACTGACCTCAAATTCCAGACCCTTCACTTGTGCCAGCAAGCCTTCTTTCTCCTGCAGATCTCTCTGCTGATCCTTGGTCTTGCTTACTATCTCTTCTTTTGCCTTTTCTATGTCAATCTCATAATCTGAAATAGCTTGAGTTTTTCTCTCAAGCTGCACTTCCAGTTCTGCTTTCTGCCCGTGCAAGGACTCCAGCTCCTGCTGCAATGTATTTATCTGACCCATTAAGCTCTTGATTTCAGTCGATGCTTCATCACCTTTAAATACAATATGTTCTTCCAACTGAGCTTTCTGGGTACGTAGTGACTCCATGTCCACTAACAGATTGTTGATCTGCACTGTCAAATTCTCCGCTCTAGACAATGATTCTTTCTCATTATCCTCCAATTTCTTTGTGAGAGATAAGAGTTCTTCTTCTCTGTTTTTTGACATCACCTCAAGTTTGGAAATTTGGAATTGCAGTCCCATGTTTTGCTCTCCCAGCTGTTTTGCTTCACTTGCTTTGTTCTCTATCTGCAGCTCCATATCTCTGTTTGTTGCCTGCAATGATTCCGACTCGAGTTCCCAAGCCTTGTCAACTTGTGCCTACTAATTCTTTTATACTGAACCTGTAAACCCATCTTTTCCCTCCCTCCAATGGCCAATTCTCTCCATTTTAGTTCTTAATCCTCTTCCCAATTCAACCTTTCAGATTCTTTAGAGAACTAACCGTGAAATTCCAGATCCTTCACTTGTGCCGCAAACCTTCTCTCTCATCCCGCAGATCTCTCTGTGATCCTTGATTTGCTTACCATCTCTTCTTTTGCCTTTTCTATGTACAATCTCAATAATCTGAAATAGCTTGAGTTTTTCTCTCAAGCTGGCACTTCCAGTTCTGCTTTCTGCCTGTGCAGGGAATCACTCCTGCTGCAATGTATTATCTGACCCATTAAGCTCTTGATTTCAGTCGATGCTTCATCACCTTAAATACAATATGTTCTTCTTCCCAACTGAGCTTTCTGGGTGCGTAGTGACTCCATGTCCACTAACAGATTGGTGATCTGCACTGTCAAATTCTCCACTCTTGACAACGATTCCTTCTCACTATCCTCAAATTTCTTTGTGAGAGATAAGAGTTCTTCTTCTCTCTTTTTTGACATCACCTCAAGTTCAGAAATTTGGGATTGCAGTCCCATGTTTTGCTTTCCAAGCTGTTTTGCTTCACTTGCTTTGTTCTCTATCTGCAGCTCCATATCTCTGTTTGTTGCCTGCAATGATTCCAACTCGAGTTCCAAGCTTGTCACTTGTGCCTCTAATTCTTTTATCTGAACCTGTAAACCCACCTTTTCCTCCCTCAACTGACCATTGTCTTCCATTTTAGTTCTTAAGTCCTCTTCCAGTTCACCTTTCAGATTCTTTAGAGAACTGACCTCAAATTCCAGATCCTTCACTTGTGCCAGCAAGCCTTCTTTCTCCTGCAGATCTCTCTGTTGATCCTTGGTCTTGCTTACTATCTCTTCTTTTGCCTTTTCTATGTCAATCTCATAATCTGAAATAGCTTGAGTTTTTCTCTCAAGCTGCACTTCCAGTTCTGCTTTCTGCCCGTGCAGGGACTCCAGCTCGTGCTGCAATGTATTTATCTGACCCATTAAGCTCTTGATTTCAGTCGATGCTTCATCACCTTTAAATACAATATGTTCTTCCAACTGAGCTTTCTGGGTACGTAGTGACTCCATGTCCACTAACAGATTGTTGATCTGCACTGTCAAATTCTCCGCTCTAGACAATGATTCCTTCTCATTATCCTCGAATTTCTTTGTGAGAGATAAGAGTTCTTCTTCTCTCTTTTTTGACATCACCTCAAGTTTGGAAATTTGGAATTGCAGTTCCATGTTTTGCTCTCCCAGCTGTTTTGCTTCACTTGCTTTGTTCTCTATCTGCAGCTCCATATCTCTGTTTGTTGTCTGCAATGATTCTGACTCGAGTTCCAAGCTTGTCACTTGTGCCTCTAATTCTTTTATCTGAGCCTGTAAACCCATCTTTTCCTCCCTCCACTGGCCATTCTCTTCCATTTTAGTTCTTAAGTCCTCTTCCAGTTCACCTTTCAGATTCTTTAGAGAACTAACCTCGAATTCCAGATCCTTCACTTGTGCCAGCAAACCTTCTTTCTCCTGCAGATCTCTCTGTTGATCCTTGATCTTGCTTACCATCTCTTCTTTTGCCTTTTCTATGTCAATCTCATAATCTGAAATAGCTTGAGTTTTTCTCTCAAGCTGCACTTCCAGTTCTGCTTTCTGCCTGTGCAGGGACTCCAGCTCCTGCTGCAATGTATTTATCTGACCCATTAAGCTCTTGATTTCAGTCGTTGCTTCATCACCTTTAAATACAATATGTTCTTCCAACTGAGCTTTCTGGGTGCGTAGTGACTCCATGTCCACTAACAGATTGGTGATCTGCACTGTCAAATTCTCCACTCTTGACAACGATTCCTTCTCACTATCCTCAAATTTCTTTGTGACAGATAAGAGTTCTTCTTCTCTCTTTTTTGACATCAACTCAAGTTCAGAAATTTGGGATTGCAGTCCTATGTTTTGCTCTCCCAGCTGTTTTGCTTCACTTGCTTTGTTCTCTATCTGCAGTTCCATATCTCTGTTTGTTTCCTGCAATGACTCCAACTCGAGTTCCAAGCTTGTCACTTGTGCCTCTAATTCTTTTTTCTGAACCTGTAAACCCACCTTTTCCTCCCTCAACTGACCATTGTCTTCCATTTTAGTTCTTAAGTCCTCTTCCAGTTCACCTTTCAGATTCTTTAGAGAACTGACCTCAAATTCCAGATCCTTCACTTGTGCCAGCAAACCTTCTTTCTCCTGCAGATCTCTCTGTTGATCCTTGATCTTGCTTACCATCTCTTCTTTTGCCTTTTCTATGTCAATCTCATAATCTGAAATAGCTTGAGTTTTTCTCTCAAGCTGCACTTCCAGTTCTGCTTTCTGCCCGTGCAGGGACTCCAGCTCCTGCTGCAATGTATTTATCTGACCCATTAAGCTCTTGATTTCAGTCGATGCTTCATCACCTTTAAATACAATATGTTCTTCCAACTGAGCTTTCTGGGTGCGTAGTGACTCCATTTCCACCAACAGATTGGTGATCTTCACTGTCAAATTCTCCACTCTTGACAACGATTCCTTCTCACTATCCTCAAATTTCTTTGTGAGAGATAAGAGTTCTTCTTCTCTCTTTTTTGACATCAACTCAAGTTCAGAAATTTGGGATTGCAGTCCTACGTTTTGCTCTCCCAGCTGTTTTGCTTCACTTGCTTTGTTCTCTATCCGCAGCTCCATATCTCTGTTTGTTGCCTTCAACGATTCCAACTCAAGTTCCAAGCTTGTCACTTGTGCCTCTAATTCTTTTATCTGAACCAGTAAACCCACCTTTTCCTCCCTCAACTGACCATTGTCTTCCATTTTAGTTCTTAAGTCCTCTTCCAGTTCACCTTTCAGATTCTTTAGAGAACTGACCTCAAATTCCAGATCCTTCACTTGTGCCAGCAAACCTTCTTTCTCCTGCAGATCTCTCTGTTGATCCTTGATCTTGCTGACTATCTCTTCTTTTGCCTTTTCTATGTCAATCTCATAATCTGAAATAGCTTGAGTTTTTCTCTCAAGCTGCACTTCCAGTTCTGCTTTCTGCCCGTGCAGGGACTCCAGCTCCTGCTGCAATGTATTTATCTGACCCATTAAGCTCTTGATTTCAGTCGATGCTTCATCACCTCTAAATACAATATGTTCTTCCAACTGAGCTTTCTGGGTGCGTAGTGACTCCATGTCCACTAACAGATTGGTGATCTGCACTGTCAAATTCTCCACTCTTGACAACAATTCCTTCTCACTATCCTCAAATTTCTTTGTGAGAGATAAGAGTTCTTCTTCTCTCTTTTTTGACATCAACACAAGTTCAGAAATTTGGGATTGCAGTCCCATGTTTTGCTCTCCCAGCTGTTTTGCTTCACTTGCTTTGTTCTCTATCTGCAGTTCCATATCTCTGTTTGTTGCCTGCAATGACTCCAACTCGAGTTCCAAGCTTGTCACTTGTGCCTCTAATTCTTTTATCTGAACCTGTAAACCCACCTTTTCCTCCCTCAACTGACCATTGTCTTCCATTTTAGTTCTTAAGTCCTCTTCCAGTTCACCTTTCAGATTCTTTAGAGAACTGACCTCAAATTCCAGATCCTTCACTTGTGCCAGCAAACCTTCTTTCTCCTGCAGATCTCTCTGTTGATCCTTGATCTTGCTGACTATCTCTTCTTTTGCCTTTTCTATGTCAATCTCATAATCTGAAATAGCTTGAGTTTTTCTCTCAAGCTGCGCTTCCAGTTCTGCTTTCTGCCCGTGCAGGGACTCCAGCTCCTGCTGCAATGTATTTATCTGACCCATTAAGCTCTTGATTTCAGTCGATGCTTCATCACCTTTAAATACAATATGTTCTTCCAACTGAGCTTTCTGGGTGCGTAGTGACTCCATGTCCACTAACAGATTGGTGATCTGCACTGTCAAATTCTCCACTCTTGACAACGATTCCTTCTCACTATCCTCAAATTTCTTTGTGAGAGATAAGAGTTCTTCTTCTCTCTTTTTTGACATCAACTCAAGTTCAGAAATTTGGGATTGCAGTCCTATGTTTTGCTCTCCCAGCTGTTTTGCTTCACTTGCTTTGTTCTCTATCTGCAGTTCCATATCTCTGTTTGTTGCCTGCAATGACTCCAACTCGAGTTCCAAGCTTGTCACTTGTGCCTCTAATTCTTTTATCTGAACCTGTAAACCCACCTTTTCCTCCCTCAACTGACCATTGTCTTCCATTTTAGTTCTTAAGTCCTCTTCCAGTTCACCTTTCAGATTCTTTAGAGAACTGACCTCAAATTCCAGATCCTTCACTTGTGCCAGCAAACCTTTTTTCTCCTGCAGATCTCTCTGTTGATCCTTGATCTTGCTGACTATCTCTTCTTTTGCCTTTTCTATGTCAATCTCATAATCTGAAATAGCTTGAGTTTTTCTCTCAAGCTGCACTTCCAGTTCTGCTCTCTGCCCGTGCAGGGACTCCAGCTCCTGCTGCAATGTATTTATCTGACCCATTAAGCTCTTGATTTCAGTCGATGCTTCATCACCTTTAAATACAATATGTTCTTCCAACTGAGCTTTCTGGGTGCGTAGTGACTCCATTTCCACTAACAGATTGGTGATCTGCACTGTCAAATTCTCCCCTCTTGACAACGATTCCTTCTCACTATCCTCAAATTTCTTTGTGAGAGATAAGAGTTCTTCTTCTCTCTTTTTTGACATCAACTCAAGTTCAGAAATTTGGGATTGCAGTCCTATGTTTTGCTCTCCCAGCTGTTTTGCTTCACTTGCTTTGTTCTCTATCTGCAGTTCCATATCTCTGTTTGTTGCCTGCAATGACTCCAACTCGAGTTCCAAGCTTGTCACTTGTGCCTCTAATTCTTTTTTCTGAACCTGTAAACCCACCTTTTCCTCCCTCAACTGACCATTGTCTTCCATTGTTGTTCTTAAGTCCTCTTCCAGTTCACCTTTCAGATTCTTTAGAGAACTGACCTCAAATTCCAGATCCTTCACTTGTGCCAGCAAACCTTCTTTCTCCTGCAGATCTCTCTGTTGATCCTTGATCTTGCTGACTATCTCTTCTTTTGCCTTTTCTATGTCAATCTCATAATCTGAAATAGCTTGAGTTTTTCTCTCAAGCTGCACTTTCAGTTCTGCTTTCTGCCTGTGCAGGGACTCCAGCTCCTGCTGCAATGTATATATCTGACCCATTAAGCTCTTGATTTCAGTCGATGCTTCATCACCTTTAAATACAATATGTTCTTCCAACTGAGCTTTCTGGGTGTGCAGTGACTCCATGTCCACTAACAGATTGTTGATCTGCACTGTCAAATTCTCTGCTCTAGACGACAATTCTTTCTCACTATCCTCAAATTTCTTTGTGAGAGATAAGAATTCTTCTTCTCTCTTTTTTGACATCACCTCAAGTTCAGAAATTTGGGATTGCAGTCCTATGTTTTGCTCTCCCAGCTTTTTTGTTTCACTTGCTTTGTTCTCTATCTGCAGCTCCATATCTCTGTTTGTTGCCTGCAATGATTCCAACTTGAGTTCCAAGCTTGTCACTTGTGCCTCTAATTCTTTTATCTGAACCTGTAAACCCACCTTTTCCTCCCTCCACTGACCATTGTCTTCCATTTTAGCTCTTAAGTTCTCTTCCAGTTCACCTTTCAGATTCTTTAGAGAACTGACCTCAAATTCCAGATCCTTTACTTGTGCCAGCAAACCGTCTTTCTCCTGCAGATCTCGTTGTTGATCCTTGATCTTGCTTACTATCTCTTCTTTTGCCTTTTCTATGTCAATCACATAATCTGAAATAGCTTGAGTTTTTCTCTCAAGCTGCACTTCCATTTCTGCTTGCTGCCTGTGCAGGGACTCCAGCTCCTGCTGCAATGTATTTATCTGACCCATTAAGCTCTTGATTTCAGTGGATGCCTCATCACCTTTAAATACAATATGTTCTTCCAACTGAGCTTTCTGGGTGCGTAGTGACTCCATGTCCACTAACAGATTGTTGATCTGCACTGTCAAATTCTCCGTTTTAGACAATGATTCTTTCTCACTATCCTCAAATTTCTTTGTGAGAGATAAGAGTTCTTCTGCTCTCTTTTTTGACATCACCTCAAGTTCAGAAATTTGGGATTGCAGTCCTATATTTTGCTCTCCCAGCTGTTTTGCTTCACTTGCTTTGTTCTCTACCTGAAGCTCCATATCTCTGTTTGTTACTCGCAATGATTCAAACTTGAGTTCCATGCTTGTCATTTGTGCCTCTAATTCTTTTATCTGAGCAGATGATTGATTCCCGTACACCTCATGCAACTCTTTGAGCATCAAAAGTTCCGTTTCTTTCTCACCCAGTTCCTTCTTTGACTGACTTATTTCAGCCATGAGTTGTTGTATTGTGCCCTGTGCCAGCTGACTCTCATTTGAAACCTCAGAAAGTTTCGAGTTCAGGGATTTATTCTCTTCCACTGTAGCATTAAGACTGTGGCTCAATTCTGAAACTTGCTGTTCAGTAGATTCCAGCTGTTGTTGCATATTGGAAAATTCCCCCCCTGCACTTTTTAGCTCTTGCTTTAGAGTTATATTTTCCTCTTTCAGCCGATCAACTTCTCTTCTAAGCTCCTCTGTAAACTTCTCACCATCTTCAATTCTTTTAGCAGCAGCCTCTTTCTCTAGAATTAAGTTATTGTTCTCTCTATTCAGATCTTCCAATCTTTGCTTCACCTCAGCTTCTATCTTAGCAGCAGTGTCCAGTTTACACCTCAGCTCTTCATTCTCAACTACAAGTTTTGATTTTTCACTCTCTGATCTCTCAGATTCAAGCTTCAGATTCGTGATGATTTCCTCCGCATCTTGCAACTTGCTTAAAGAAGCTAGATAATCAGAATTTAAAGCATCTTTTTCTTCACTTGTATCTGTCAGTTTACTCTTAAGGTCAGCAATTTCCAGATTTTCTGTTTCAAGTTCTTGCTTAATACCTTCTGCTATTTTCTGAAATTTGTTTTCCGATGGTCCATCTTTACTGCCTCCATCTTTTGAAGAATAATCGGAGTCTGAATCTGAACTCGACGATGAGGAGGCAACATTTTCTCGTTTGCCATGAACTTTTTTCCTCAGCTTCCCCGTGAGATGATCATATTGTGCATAGAGATTTTGGTAGTGTTTGTAGAAATCCTCAATTAACTGGACAAGCAGTTCCTTCTTGGGGTTAGCTATTGAGATCCCATCATTTTCTTCAACTTCTTCATTGTTGATGAGCTTCAATATTTTTGTCACTTTGTCATCAATTTCTGCAGTGAAGGGAATTTATGCTTGAGATTAAAAAAAAAAAAGAAGTAAATCATATGACGAAAATCATGTTAAGCTGATTGTGGAATTTCAGTACACCCATGAATCAACGTTATCAGTTAAGATTGAAAATTGCACCGAAACGAAATCAGTAAATTTGGAAAATTACCTATTTTACTTCCTTTAAGCTGTTCATCCTTTTCTGGATCAACATGATGCCTCAAGAAGAACTTTATAGACTTCCTAAAGCGATGCTTGGTCATCTCTTGGTAAGTTTACCAACTAATTTTGCTCAGCAAGTGTGCGTGAAGACAAGGCAATCCCCATCTCGAGCATAAAAGCTGAAATGCAGAATTAAGGAAACCTTGTAATTAGTTTCAAACCATGTCAAACAGAAACTATACAGCAAACTCTTAACACAAGCGGATTGATTGCAAAAGTTGTAAACATAAAATGTCATAAGAACCCTAAACTACTGAGCATCCAATTAGATACTCAATTAATATAATTTAACCAAAGTATTCTGGTATTATAACAACTGGCAAACTGATGGCCTATTCAGAAGCAAATTTTCTACCAGTAACAATGGTGTTGTACGGATGGAGGCCCCTCTTTGTTGCTAGAGAAAACACTCAAATGCTACAAACTCTTAATGACTATAGGAAATCCGTTGCAGGCTTGCTTAACCGGCAGTTTGGTGGACCAGTTTTAAATATCACCAATTTCTATTATATCAATTTGTTTTAAAATGAAAATGAAAGTGGTGGCCAGTCAATTCATCATGTTGTTCTAAACAGGACGTCCCCTTTAAAAAACAGTTGCATATCTTGTAACCATTTGAAACAGGATTTAAATTACTAAATCCCAAGTATTGCATCAAGTCAACTCAACTATCCATCATATACGTTCCAATTGAATTCCAAACAATCGAGAAAGATCAGCATCAAGAATCCACCAATTTTTTGTTCCCATGATCTCAATTGTTCAATACCTAACATCTCTCTTTTTTCACCCACTCGAAATCAAGTTTCAATAAATGTTCTGATTCATGAACCTCTCCAACAAAGCCATAACCGTTAAACCTATAGATTAATGGCCCCAAACCCAGTACCCTATATTCAAAAACTATTGGCCCTTACCACGACACCAACAGAAAATCTTACTTTTTGATAAATATGTACTTTCTAATCACAAAAGAAACAAATCAAATCCAAACCTTTCTTTTTTACAATCCATCTCAAAATGACAAAATCTAAAAGCAACAATATTTATTTAATTTAAGTGGTTAAGTTAGGAACTTGGTATCTAATCTAAGCATTTACAGGATTTATCAAATAATAGAATACAAATGAGCATGATTCTAAGAACATGGGCCCACATAATCAATGCATGCATCAGCATTAGTATTTACTACTACCATATTATTGTCAAGCATAATAAGCAAGATAAGATGAATGATTAAATTAGATTATAAAAAAAAAAAAAAGGTAAATGGGCTTAAGAATTGGTTTTTAAGGAGCACAACGCCAGTAAAGTGGCAGATATGATTCTAATCTGGCGCCACCTTATCATCACATTCACTGGGGAACGGAATCACCCACACAGAAATAAAGAAAGCTGATTTGGAACGATAAAAGACGGCCATTATTTGGAAAACGGTGAGCTGTTCTTTTTGTTCTTTCCTTTTTTCCGTTCAGGCAACTTATAAAATTAAAATAAATAAATGATTAAATAAATAGTAAAGGAGTAGCAATAATAATTTGGCATTATTCACCTGAGACTTTCCTTCTCTTGCCTCTATCAATCTTGCATCGGAAGCTTTGCTAAGTTTCTGCAAAAACAAATAGATTTCTTTTTTGTTCAAATTAAAAGAGTAAAATATTGAATTTTAAGATAAATAATCGAATCAAAACCTATACAAGTAATAAGTTCAAAACGAAGAAAATCTGGAAAATTAAAAAGAAGAAGAAGAAGAAGAAGAATATCATTAACTTGAACTGAAAATCATGATCTTAATAAAAATTTGATCTTAAATCATTTTCAATTCTGGAGTTAGCAAGGATTTCTATTTGTAAAAATTCAAAACCACATGGACTTTTGCAAATCCACATAAAATCAAACGTTCAAGGAAAAAAAAAGATCTAAGAATTTTATGTTAATGAAAACGAGTAAATCAAAGTTCAAACTATTTTACAAAATCATGAAAAAGAACAAGAAAAAATAAAAAGAACTCAACTATCAAAACTGAAGTTACTGAAGTGGATTCGGTTAAAGATCAAAGGTTTTGATTGAAACTGAAGTTTAAGTCATCAAACGAAGGAACTAAGTGACGATTAATCAGCTGATAATCAAAGATTACCTCCGAGTCAGAGCTCCAAAGTTTGATTAAGAAGAAGAAGAATCTGAATAACAGAGCACAAAAAACAAAAAGTCAGAGAGAGAGAGCGTGTGTTATTCGAATTCCTTTTGAGAAATGAAATGACCAGTGACTATAAATAGCACCTCGCTTTTCAGTTTGAGATGTGCTAAATGACTATATGATTTTCTTTTCGCACTTTAATTTTTTTTTTATTTTTTTAAGTGAGATTTTTTTTCATATAAATTTTTAAAAATAAATTTACAAAAAATCATAAATTTTTTAAAAAATAAATTTTAAAAAATTATATAACTTTTTAAAAATAAAATTTTAAAATATTATAATTTTTTTAAAAAATAAATTTTTAAAAAATCAGATAATAAAAAATTTTAAAATATTTTAAATAAATTTTTATTATTTTTAAAAATTTATTTTTGAAAAATATTTATAATTTTTTAGAAATTTATTTTTAAAAAATTATAAAAAATAAAAAAATAATTTTATTTATAAAAAATTTTTAAAAAAATTAAAGTGTGAAGAGAAAATAATGAATGCATTTAGCACCTCCCTTCAATTTTCAGGGGATGGAATCCATGGAGCATTATTATACTAATTACCGTTACCTTTGTTATTTTATTTAAGTTATGCCCTTTGGCAGCCGGGCCTTTCAATTTCTCGTTGGAAAAAAACGCGAGATGACCACTCATATTTGTTTTCCCGCGCTCTTGCCGTTTTCACGTTTATTTCGAACTTACTTGCTTCTAAGATTTGACATAGGGCACTCCAGCTGTTGTCGGGAATCATAATTATTGTGCTTCAACATAGTGATGTCAATGAGTAACGTAATGTATTTTTTTTTTTAATTTTTATATTATATTTATTTTTTATTTATATTTAATAAATATTTTCAATTTAACTTTATTTTTATTCTCGTGAAAATTTAATATATATGAATATTTTTCATATTTGTAACTGTTATAAAAAATAAAAACTAAAAATTATTTTTTTAATATTTTTTATCTTTATTTTATATATTTAGATAATTTTTTATTAATATATATTTTTCAATAAAATATAAATTTTAATTAATCTAAAATAATAATTTATATTATTTAATAAAAAATTTAGTTACTAAATATATATAAGGTAAGAATACTAGATTATTTATATCTATATAAGGTACAAAACAAATATTATATTATTCGCTCTTTATCTTCATATTTAGAAAAGACTTAAAATTATATATATCTTTGTCTTTATATCTATAATATAATATTTATCATTATTTCTGTTCAAATAAAAAATAAGACATCCCTAATTTAATATATAAAATTAAAATCTAATTTAAAAATTTTTTAATTTGATTTATTCATTGTTGAATCTAAATAATGAAATTCATTAAATTTTTAATTTTTGAATTTGATTCTAACTCCATAATTTATTGACTTGATTATACTTTTATTATAAAAAAAATGTGACTGAAAAATCTCACATAAAACACAAATTAGTAATTAATCATTCAATAAAAAAATAATCCTCAAATATAAAATCACATTTTAAACATAAAGAGAGGTAAATTATTGAATAGAGTTACATCACTTCTACTAATGTTTATGAACATAAGAATTCTTTTTTCTTTACAAAATTTAATGAATAAATTGAGATTTATGTGAAAAAAAAAATGTACTAGTATCAGTTCAGACAGTGTCATCTTCATCTAAGATGAGAAAATTTCATGTCTTTTTCTTGGTTCTAACAGCTAACTTTGATATAAATTTCTTTAGATAGTCACAGCGGCTGCGATGGTAGTCAATCAACAGGCAGAGCTGCCTTATGGCTTCCCTCTTCTCTTCTTCCCTAACCAACAATGTTTCATCCTTTTCTTTCGTTATCTTCTCCAATTCTTCCACTCTATTCTCCAGGTCGGTCACGGCTTTCAACAGCTTCAGCTTTTCTTCTCCTTCCTCCCTCAACTTCGCTTCCAAAGTCAAAGCCTTCTCCCTCAAAAACGACTCCTCGTTTTCCTTGTCAATTTCTGATACCACTAAATCCACATTACTCTTCAGCTGTTCTATTTCATTTTCCCTTCCTGTGTTGCAGTCATTTGTAGAAACAAGCCCGTCTTCTACATTTGAAATGCGGATCAGGGAATCTCCATCGTCTTCTAAATTATTCACTACTGAATTCAAGGGAGTCGATGCATTTTTGCCTGGCTCCATTGAATCCCTCAACTTCCTGCACTCAGCTTCACAAGTGGCAAGCTTTTCTCCAAGTGCACCATTTTCTTGCTCTAGCCTTTCTTTTATTTTCTTGTAAGTATCTTTGCACTCAAAATGCATTTTTTCAGCAACCGTGATCCTCTGGTACAAAAGACGGATGTTATCTTCAACTTTCTTGTGGAACTCTTGTGCTAAATCCTTCATCTTTTTTTCTAGGACATGGAAATTTAAATTGGTTCCTGTTGATAAGCGTCTGGACAGCTTAGACTTAGACTCCATAGATTTGTTGGTACTTTCCTCTCTTTCTTTCATGATTCTCTGCTGATCAGCAATCTGCAACTTCAACTGGCTTTTCTCCATCTTCATGGGATCCACCTTCTGTTGCAGAAGTTCAACCACCGTATTTGAGGTCATAATCTGAGCAGTTTCTTTAATCCTTCTACTTTCGATGTCCTGAATAGCAGAAAGCTCATGGCCTCTCTTCCGAAATGGTGCTTCCAATTCTAGAATTCTAGCATTTAGGTGATCCCTTTCTTCTCTCAGTTGATTGATTTCACGAATATTACTCCTTTCTTCATCTTCTGATTTATTTTTCTGCTTGCGTAGAGCATCCACCTCTGATTCCAAGTCCATCACCTGCACCTGTAAGTCTTCTTTTTCTTCTACCATTATCTGCTCAACAGCACTCTTTCTTGCTAATTCCTTTTTCAGGGTTTCCACTTGAATCAGATACTGGGAGATTTCTTTAGATTTCCTCTCTAGCAGAATTTCTGACTCAGTTTTCTGGCTGCATAGGCAATCCAATTCCTGCTTCATTATATTTGCCGGATCAAATGATTCATTACTCTTGCAAGCTATACTTCCTCCGGCTTCACATTTTTGGGCACATAAATAGTCCACCTCCTTCTTCAGATTGCTGATCTGTGCCATTGAATTCTCAATTTTAGATGTTAAGTTGTTTTCAATGTCCTTGATTTGCTTCATGAGTTTAGTTACTTCATCTCCTTCCTCTGAAATCTGCCAATACAGTACCTTATTTGTCTCTCCTTGCTGTTTACTTTTAGCTGTCTTACCATCAAGCTGAGCTTCCAAATCTCTTTTCTGGTGGTGCTGAGATTCCAGTTCAGTTTTCAAGCCAATTAACTGCTCCTCTAGCTCCGTTACCCGTCCCTTGCGCACCTTTCCAGAAGCAGAAAGTCTCTTTTCTTTCTCATCCACTTCTTTTCTCAAATCTCTGTTGATGGTTTCTATTTCTTGTATTTTACTTAAAGCGGCCAGAAGGTTTGAAGCTAAAACTTCCTTCTCTTCAGTCTTGAGGGTCATTTGATGGTTCTGGTCAGCAACTTTTATGTATGCCCTTTCAAGTTCTTCCTGGATGTTTTCTGCCATCCTTCTTTCGGAACTTCCATCGTTATTAAATGCTATGTTGGTGTTAATTTCTACGTCCTCGGAGGAATAATATTCCGAATCTGAGCTGGAGGTGTCATAAGAACAACTTTCATTTCCTTTTCCATCAAGAGCTTTCTTACCTGACTCTGGTTTAAGATGATCATACTGGGCATGGAGAGATTGGTACTGTTTGTGAAAGTCCTCAACAAGTCCAACAATTTCTGGCTCCTTTTTCGCTTCGTTTCTCCTCTTGATGAGTTTCAAGATTCTTTCCACTTTGTTTTCAACATCTGCAAAAAACAGGGAACTTCTGAATTTGATACATCAACATTAAATGAAGTGGCTATAGAATAAATGTTATAACTCTCATATTATCTTATTAGAAAGCACTTGAGACCTTAAAGCACAGAATTAAATACAACAAACACAAATAAGGAGAGTTGACAAAGCACTCAACACTAAACAATGACAGCTATCTAAGGTAATCAAAGAATTACTCTTAAAGCTGACGGTAGTAAACTATAAAATAGGAAATTATTACAATGCACTTTTAAGTTTTTCTCTATAGGGCAAAGTAAGGTTATAAACAGACCCTGGAACCTTGCTTTTGCAGAAACATAAACATGGTGACAACCTTTGCAACTCTCTAGTCACTATCGAAAGAATTTCAGAATTGGTGTATATCACGGTCCATTAATCTATACAGTATACGCATACTTGAGGATGATAACAGGGGGAAAATTTTTTCTTGCAAAAATATTATCACAGACTATTGTCTTCTCTTAGCCAAAAGGACACATAATAAAATGCACATAACTACGTAGACATGCATCCATTAAGATTTACATTAAGAAGCAAAACCATATAAAAAATTTTGGGAAGCTGTACTTTTCAAATGAAAAGCCTATGGGCCACTGTAAAACTGACTTAGATCATACATTAAAAGTTGCCATCCAATTGATAGCAGAACGTTAGATATGCTTAGTAAATTAGGGAGAAAGTTTTTGTAATGACAGTCATGTTATCTTTGATTCTCCATTAATATCAGAGGATGATAAAAGGAAGGTTTCCAGGGAAGATATCAGCAAGGTGCAAATTTTATTTTACACAAAATAATGTGCGAACATTTGGATTCCAGTAATTTTTACAGACCTGTTTTAGTCACTTCCACTTGCTCCATCTTTTTGAACTTTTGGGTATCAGGATAACCCTAAGAGGTCATTGTCTGGCTTTATTGCTTCTTCTCCAATATGAAATTTGCAGCAAATATAATGACTGAATCCCCAAGCAAAAAAATGCATTCTCCATCTCATACACATCAAACTAAATCTCTGAAAACAAAGTGACATAACATTAATAAATTATTTTGACATTGCCACATTCAAATATAGTAAAATCCTGAACTTATGCATGTCCTTGACAACAGTTTGGGCGGTCACTGCACTTTAGATGGTTTACCCTTTGTTTGTCCCTCTTGACTAACATAAAAAATGCTTACATCAAAGATAAAGTAGCAATAGTAGTAAATTACTTCATCTGCTGAGTGAAGAAAAAACATAGACCGTTATAAAACCCACACATCATACAGTGTACACAAGAATTGGTACATCCCATTTATCCAAACTTTGGTTTTGAAAACATGCAATGGGGCATGCTTGTCAAATTCTTAAATGTATATTCTTGACCTATCTACATTAAGAATTCATTAGTGACAGTACTACCTAGTCAAAATGTTAATAGCCTATCCAATTTAACTATCCAAAGCCTATCTGAACCCGATTATAAGGTTATCTTAATCCGACTTTGTCGAGTCCAATAATGCAAGACACCCATTTCAGCCCCTAAATTATATAGTACAATAATAGGTATATAACCTGCATAAAGTACTTCTAATTGGTTTATACATGTAGGAATCTTCTTTCAGCTAAGGGATCTAATCTAACCTGTATTATAACAATTATTCTATTAGATTTATATGATTTTGACGATAAGGCCTATCAAAAAAAGGGGTGGTCCATTAATACATCCGGATTTCCAAAGAGTGGGTGATGAATAATTGTGCATAAGGTTGGAGATGTCATCGTCAAAGGCAACAACAGTCCCCCACCCATTTCTTGACACCTTTGAATCTCAAAATTCAAACACCTTTTCCTTCTTGCCCTTTTGAAGAAAATAATCATAATAACAATAAGAGCAAACGTCTAGAAGTCTAGTCCATTGCATCCATGGCCTAGCAATCTTAATCAGGTGATTAAAGCGTTTTTTAATCACATTTTTTAAAATTAAATTATGGTAATACTGCATCGATCCATTTACACGTTGATTATATTACATAAAGAATGACATCCACTGAAAACTACATAAAATTTAATTTATAGAATCCAATTTGGAATTTAATCAAACGATAATTTTTTAAAAAAGATGAATCAAGAGATCAGAAACGTAAATAGAGGATTTTTTTAAATAGAAATATGATATTTTTATATTGAATGATTTTCTGTATTTTCTATTTCATTTTCGTTGACAATCAAACAAATATAAAGACCATTTTTAACAGAAAATTAGATTGAAAACAAATCTTACCTGGAAATTGAAGGCGCATCTTGTCTCTGCCGATCAAAATGCAATGACAAAGGGATAAAATAACTGCAAATTAGGAGAAATTTTTCAGGAAAAAAAAAAGAAGAAAAATAGTCAAAAAGGGTGGTTACAAAATTCGCTGTTCCTTTTTTTTTGCGTCTTGCCCGGGTCCATGCGAAGGAAATTTTGGCGCTTCTTTTGATACAATTGCCCTTCGATTTCGGTTTCTATTACATTCAAAAATCATTGAATGAGCTACTGTGGCAAATCTCATTTTCTCGGTTTGCGAAAAAATGCGATAATTTCATTTAAAAAAATTAATTCGATTAGCATATGCCTATAGACAGTTTAAGTTTGGCCAAAAAAAGATAGGCAGTTTAAGAGTAACTAAAATACTATTTTAAAAAATATTTTTAATATTTACTGAATTTTTTTATGAAATTAAAAAATATTAATTATATAAGTTAGTTTTTATACATTAATTATAAAATTTTTTATTTTGATAAATAAAATTATATGATTATCACATGTATTATTTTTATATTGTTATAATATTTTAAAGAATATGTTTCTTTCTGTTAAACCTAAAACTTCACTATAATTTATTTAATTATGTAGTTTTAAATATCATTTTAATCTGTAATTATTATGCATCTATTAACATAATTTTTTTTTGGCAAAAATTTCACGTGAGTAATGCCTATGGTTCGGAACTTCCCTAAATCCTGCGTTACCCTTTTTGGCATCCTTTCAAAGCAATTAGCCGAGTAGGGCTGCAAAACAAGACATAGCCTTAGATTGAATTTCACTACAGGGACAGTACGGTGTAATTGAAATTATGGTATTATCATTTAAATTTAATATTGATTTTAATAAAATTTATTTAATATAAATTTTTTATTATAATTATAGTAATTCTTTTTTTATTTATAATTAAAATATTTTTTTTTTAATTTCATTAAAATCAATTTGATCACCTATTCAAATAATGCAAAGAAGAAAATTGAAGTAAAATTCTATCAATAACCAATAGTCTGGAGACCACAATGGAAAGGTGGAGCCTAACTTTCTTCAATGACGTTTTTTCATGATTTGATTTTTCAATTTCCATACGCCATCCATGAATCTGATAGACATGTGCATGTGTTACGTGACTATTATTTTGTCTTTTCAAAATTGATTTATCAAAATATGTAATTTTTATATTCTAATGATTCTTTTTTCATATTTGATATAAGATTAAGATATTTTGTTTATTCATCTTTGGAGCATTGATGTAATTTTTTTTTTATCTAATCTCGTGATATTTTTATCACGAAAGTTGATCACATTATTTATCTCTTTGAGACACTTGATATTGATTGAATAATTTAGAGTCTGTTTTGATATTATTTATCATATAATTATTTTTTTCTCTCTTAAAAATTGACTTTTCAAAATGTATAATATGAATATTTTTATACTTGAATAACCTCATTTCATATTCAATGCGATATTAGAATACTTTACTTACTTATCTTAAGTGTTTGACATGACATTTACCTATAAGTAAGGCTATATCAAAACTAAAGTCAAACTAAAAGAAAAAACTTAAAAGGGCAAATACTAATAGGAACCAAATTTGGCCTTGTTTGCTCAAAATAATTTGACTAATCTCCTTTTCCAGTTGTAAATCACTAAATTGAGCTGTAAATGAGAGTTTAGTGCAGTGTTTTCCATGTTAGAATTTGACTGGCCATTTGGTAAAGGCTTTCCCAGCCGCCCCAGGTCAGTTCCAAAGTTTTTCATTGACCAAGCCCAATTTCACTGCACAAAAATTTTTTAAAAAAAATGGTGAATCCAATTTCACTACATACTTGGCCAAAAAAATTTTCACTCTATAGTTCTGGTGATCAAAGTTAGATGAATCCAATCCACTTACAATAGAGTAACAGGCCAAGGAGTTACCCATTGGATCCACACATTAACCCAGAAGCCTTACTAAAATTGGGCTCGGGTTTGGATTTGAAGAAAAGTAGACAAAATTAAACAGAGGGCTTTGCTGGCTATGGGGTTCGAACCCATGCGTACTTATGTACAGAAGATCTTAAGTCTTCCCCCTTAACCTCTCGGGCAAACCAGCTACTACATTGGGTTAACAATCATGAAATATTAAACCAGCTTTATGTTTAAATTTACCATAACCTAATAAACGAACCAGCTTTTACTTTTAGTTAACCATCATGAAATCTTAAACCAGCTTTTATGTTTAAATTAACTATCATCAAATATAAATAGATTATTTGGACTTGGAGAGATAAAATGAATTGATAGTTGAGGATCATCATAAAGAAACTTGGTTTTTTCCTAAATTTTTAGAATTATTACATGCAAATTAGTTTTTTCTTGAATTTTCAGCATTATTACATGCAAGTTAGTTCTTGAGTTACATTTCGAGACTCCTGGACCAGACTGAAGAGATCCGACTTCATTTGCCTACAAAACAATAACAATCTAGGGGATTGTCAAAGGAAACTATCCACCGGGTAAATAAACACTCGTTTCAAAGTAACAAGAATCTGCTAACCATACAAGGAATTTCTTAAACAATGCTAACTCTTTTCACATAATATAATGCTTGTCCTATAACAGGCTCCAGAGATTTCTTCCCTTAAAAAGCTTGTTTTCCAAAACACAGACACTGCACAACAAAATCCATATATATAGAATTACGCAGCTAAGCAGGCATGCTTGTATTTACATTTGAAAGTACAAAAAAAGTTACAATGCTGATATCCTCCTACTCCTCATCAGAAGAAATCTTCTGTTTTTTCCATTTATATGCAGCTTCTAAAATCTTGAGATTCGTTGCCTGGTTTTCTTCTGGGAATACATAATCAATGAATTCCTCGTACCTGCCAAACCGAATAATTCAACATTTAGTATCCAAGGGAAACACAGGTTAATATGCCAATGCTATAAATGCATCTGTTCATTGAAGACTACTTTTGTTTAAATGGGGTTTGACAAACAGTCTCTTTTCTTTTTTGGCAAGAGTTTGACACATGGTCTTCAAAATTGTGAAATCAAAAAAGAAAATAACCAATAAAGATGTGGAAACTAAACTGGACAATACTGCACACAAACAAACAGACCCTTTATGGTAGCAGACAAAACACCTTTATGGGGACTAAGGAACAACTAAGAAAAAGAGCCCCGCAATTTCGGGGGCTATGGAATATAGAGAAACTATGTTGACTTGCGTGGCCAGTGGCTTTAGCCCCACAGCTCCTAATTGCTTGATTCAAAAGAACAACCAAAGATGCCGCAAGAGTGCAAGACAGTAACATGATGGATCCAAGCAACTGACAGAAGTAAATTAAAAGGCTGAGTTACATACCCGACAACACCACCATCTTCACTTGTAATTTGCTTCCTCTTTTTGAGTTTCTTTGGCAACTTAGACTGGACTAGACTAATGTTGCCAAACTCACCAAAACTGCTTTCCATGTTAAGCCACTCTTCCAGAAGCATAGCACGTTCTTCTTTCAACTCTGGTGCTGATGTTCTGTAATAGTTAATAGCTCGCTCAAAGACTCCTGGTAAAAAAAGTAAAAGGTAAGAATTTATTCTACTAATAAATGATGAAAGTAGATGTAAAAAAGGCAGTAAATTTTGGACAAGTCTAAACTCACTTCTAGCATGCTGAATGCATTTCTTCTTTTCTTCATGATGATTTTCCTGGATTCCATCTTGTGGCAAGTTTGAACCCCCATCATTCTCCTCAACCGCAGATGCTTCAAACTTCGCATAACTAATCCACACCTTCAAGTGCTTTGTTCGATCCAAAAGTCTCTCATACAATCCTCTGGTTCGTTGATATTCACCTTCAGATATTTCAAAATCTATATAAGCCTGTCACCAACGAAGGAGAAGTATTACCACCATTTGCTCTAATGTCATTACATATGATGTTCTTCAAAAACCAACAGCTATCAGTCAAGAAGGAAAAAAAGGAAAAAAAATATGGAGAAATCACTCTTAAAGACCCCATACTGGTCCAAAATTTTGTACCATGTATATATCTCCTAGCAAACATGCAACTGTTTTTAAAGTGAAGTTCCACGAAAAAAAATCAATAGTCATGCCATTAGAAAACCTTAATCATGAGATGAGAAAACTTATTAAACATCATGGATGAAGCATAAGACATAATTATCAAGCATGACATACAGAAATGATAATTAAGTAATTGCTCCTCTCTTCCAGCACTTGTTTTAATTGTTTCTGCCTTGATTATAAAAAAGGCACAACTGTAAACATAAAGTCGAACAGCATAAAACAGTTGTTCATAGGGCAATACCTTCCAGAGCAACTCTGGCATGTCCAAAGCCGGTTGTGTAATGGCGAGCTCAAAAATAGCTCTCGCCCTCTCTGTTTCAGACAATGATCTTTCTAACTCAGCATATTTACTCCATGCATAGCAGTTCTCTGGTGCCCACTCTAGATATTTCTCATACAATTTTTGGCAACGGTCAATATTACCAAGTTGTAGCTCAATCTCAATGTACTTCTTAAAGATCTGAATGTTAAGAAAACAACATAATGAGAAAAGTTCATGTTAATGTAGTCAAATTATATAAAACTTTCAGCATCAGGTTGGACACCTACCTTATCCTTAGGTGCCTTTCCAATAGCATTTCCCAAAATTTGTCGAGCACCTTTGAGATTGAGTTGTCTTATCTCAAACTGCGCAGCAAGAAGCCATATCTTTGCAAAAGAAAACTTCTCATGGGGAATAAGTTTAAGGCACTCCCTGGAAATTTTAAATGAATGGGAACTGTTCAAAATCTATTATAACCACACATCTGAATGGTGGAAAAAAACAAAGCATGAGGAGTAATTCTTTAGAGTGCATCCTATCTATGCATGAGGATGAGAAGGGAGAAAACAATCAAAATAAAATTGTATATGTGTTATAAATTATTAATAATATCCATTACATACTAGGCACTGGCTATTATAAGGCCGGCAAATTCATCAATCACAAAAAAATAGATTAAACTCACGAGAAAGATAAACAATGAGCATTCTGAAATGTTCTATTTCCCTTTTAAAAAATGCATTTTCTCATAATGCCTTGGATATAAAGAGCTATTATAAATAAACCAGAAGAGAGGAATCTATGCAAGGAAAGGAAATAAAATAAAGAACCATAGAAAGACTGAAGATGCTGATGCAACAAAGAAACAGAACAGTGAATGAGAAAAAAGGAGGAATCAAAACAATGCAATCAATCTTAAGTAAGTTCCTCCGTAGTTAGTAGAAGGTTAAATCTGAGATTTTACTTTCTTTTTCATCAGCATGCCTCCTAGGCATAGCTAAGATTTCACCAGAAAGGCAATGATTTAAGCGAACATGTATGACGAGAAACCAATATATTCAAACATTCTAATAGTTGGCAAATTGCTTGCAGAGTTTAGTTGGCATGATTTATGAGTAAAGCGATGATTTCACTTGCAATTTAGCAACAATAGCAATCAACAGAACCATAAACCAATTCCAGGAAAACATAAGCATACCTATACACATCTCTAGTCCGATCTATATCTCCAGCATCAAGCTCCTCATACAAAGCATAATTAATCCTAATGTACAAGGAATTCATAAGTCAGTTACACGGTTCATAACAAAAAAATTATAAACATACCACCATTTGGCACACAAAAACTCACCACAAGTAAATATATCTCTGCCAATACCGCTTCTCCTCGGCCGGGGGAACATTAGCAATAGCCCTCTCATAAACCTCCCTAATCCTCTCCTTACTGCCCACACTCTCTTCCAACCTTATATAATCGAACCAAGCATCATAATTCAAGGGATTCTTCCTCACTTCATCCTCATATTGAAACCTCCTCTTCCCTACAATGGCATCCTCAATCCCTTCCTTATCTCCATATTGCTTCTCAAAAGCCACAAACTTTCTGTACAAATCCTCGGCCCTCCCTTTTGGAATATGATCGAGAGCAAACTTGTAAATACAACGAGCTCGTTCTGTTTCCTTACATCGTTCCTCAAACTCAGCAAAGGCAACGAATAACTGCTCCGCATCTTCTTCATCCGCCAGCTTCTCTACCGCACGTTCGTACACATTCCTTGCTCGTACAATCTCCCCGTTCTTCATCTCAAATTTGGCAAATTTAATCCAAGCACCGACTTTGGGATGGCACTGAACGAACCGTTCGTAAATTGCACGCGCACGATCGACTTCGTTGTAACGAAGCTCGAACTTAATGTAGGAAAGCCAGCCCTGTTGGTCCGGCATCCACGACATCCAGCGTTCGAAAATCTGGCGGGCTCCAGCGACGTTTCCTAACATCTCTTCCATGTGGATGTACTTGTACCAAAGCTGGTCCACGCGAGGGAGGAGCGTGACGGCACGGTCCCAAACATTCCTTGCGTGGTTGATGAACTTGTTCTTCATCTCCACTTCCGCGTATTTGAGCCATAAAGTGTGGTTCCGGTAATCGACTTCCAGAGCGCGCTCCCATACGCTCCGCGCTCGATTGAAGTCCTTTTGGGACTCTTCCCATTGGGCATACTTGATCCAGACGCTAACATTCCACCGTACACGGCGGATTAGGTCTTCGAATTCCTTGCGTTTGCGGAGGCGATAGTCGGCGAGTTCTGTAGTGTCGGTTATCTTCTGCTTAGGCGGTCGGATTTCCGCCTCTTGTCGTTCTCGAGCCTCTCGGAGTATTTGTTCGGCTGTAATCTGGATAGGAGCCGGAGTCTTGTTTTTGACTCGGGTAGCGCGGGGTAGCTTGACCTCTGTATCTTTACGGGTCAAGTATCCGAGTGAAGGATCCGCATCTCTGGATGCCATGACTAATTGATGATTTTCGATTCAAAGCGAACGAGTGAAACTAACGAGACGTAAACAATTTGGGGGAACAGGGTTTTCTGGTTGAAGAAAAAGAAGACAAATAAAAATCTCCAGAAAACTAGGCTGGATTAGGGATTTCCGTTGATTTTATAAATTCTTGCCCAAAGCCCCAATACCCGATAGGTTTTCCTATTTTCCAACCGATGCCAAAAGCGACGCCGTTGTAAGTATCTTATGGAGTTTTCATATTTGGGTTTGGACATTAAGAATTGGATACTAACAGCTAACCTTAACCCGAATTATTAATTCAGTTAAGGTTTTTTATTTTATTTTATTTACTAGATAGAAGCTGTGGTTCTTAGCAGAAGTATAATAAAAATATATTAAACGTATATAAAAGTTTAGATATTAAACATCAAAGAGAAGAAAAACAAATTTTTATTAATTTTTCCTGTTATATTACATAATATTTTTTATATTTTGATAAAAAAATTAAAATTCATATATAGTAATTATATTTTTTGTTAATTTTTTATGCTACGTTATGAACATTATTTTTTATCAGTCATTGGATCATATATATGATTTTTTTAATTTATTGTAAAATATAAATTTTTATAGAAATATTTAAAACATAAAAAATAGCTTAATTTTATTTTTATTTTTATATTTTTTTAATTCTTTATTTCATTATAATTAAAGATCATAGCTAAAGGGTATTTTATTTTTAATTATATTTCATTAGTTAAAATACTAAAACAATTTTAAGTTTTCCCCAATATTATAATAAATTTTTTAAAAAATGATCTCATCTCAAAAGTATTAAAAAATCTATTTATTCCTTTAAAATGTTTCATTGTCAGGTTAATTTAATATTTTATGAAAATTTTTATTTAGATTTTACCAAAATTTATTTTTACTAGATAATTTATTAAAAATAACTATAAATTTTATTTTTTTTTCAAAGTATTTCCAAAATCTTTCCAACTCTTTTGGTAATAATTTTGTTTTAATTTTATCATTGGAATAATTTTTATATTTTTTTAATTTTATAAAATTTACACGGTATAAATAAATGAAAATAATTATAAAAAACTATAAATTTATTTGCTAATCATATTTTTGTTTTTTTTATATTTTCAAATAATTAAAATACGATCTTAATATAAGAAATTAAATATTTATGTAAATAAAAATAAACAAATAAATAAGAAAGTCAATAAATAACAAAAAATAAAACTAAAATCAAAGAAAAAAGTTTGAGTTGCCAACTTTTAATAAGTATTAGCCCCCAAAGTACCTCTTGAATAATTTTCAAGACAAAATTGATGTGTCTATATAAATTATAAGTAGTTGACAGATTTAATTATTTGTATAGATTTATATTTTTTAATATTGATATTGTTGTTTTCAAAATACTTTGAATAATAAAAGTTTACACATGTTGAATATTCGGCCGTGCCTAAACGTGGCATTTTAAAACTCATTATAATAAATAATTATTTTATCTGTTTGATACTTTATCATGATTTTTTTTTAATTTCACATGTGAAATTAAATAATTATAATATTTTAAAATAATAATAAATTTAATATGATAAAAATATAATTATAATAATATTAGAGGTGATAACAATTCGGATAAGATTGAATCCGGTTTGATTTTTGAATAATACCTAAAATTATGAACTTTTAAAATCTTACATGAATTTGAATCGAATTTTTATATAATTCAATTTAATTATAACCAAATATACTGATTTCGCTTAGTTAATCGATTTTTAAATTTTAATTTTTTTTACTTCTCGATATGAAATATGATTTGAATTTAATATATCTATTAAATATTTAAATTTAATCCGAATCAAATAAAAAATTAATTTAAACTGAATCGAACACTATAATTTTAAATCAATTTTTAATTCTCTCAAAATATTTCCCATTCCTAAATAATATTGTCTTGTTAATTTTATAAACTCTACCAATCATATATAACATAATAATACTTTAGTCAAATAAAAATGTTTTATTCTACTTGACTTAAAGTATATAATCCTTCTTATTTATTTTCTTTATCTATCTTTTTTGAAATATCCTAAAATTATATTTTCCCTTTTTAAATATCTAAAACTTTTTATATATTTTAAGATTTTGTTTACTTTTTTTATATTAAAAATCATGAAATTTTAATTTTTATAAAAAAATTAAATTTAGTATTAAATATATTAAAATAAAAATTTTTAATTCTGTAAAAATCAATAATATCAAACAATTTAAGATAAAAGAAGTCTAACATATAAGTGTATGTGTGTGTATTATATAATTAATTTTTTTATGAGAATGTTTGAATTTCAAAGACTAAGCGGAATTCTACTCTTCTCTAAAATTTTTTTGAACTTTTGTTTCAGGCTGAGTTCATAAAATGATTATTGTATTTTAAGTTTTATTTTGACGGTCAATATTTTGATAGATCTTATATAATTTTAAAATATAATTTTTTTTTTGTTGTAAATGAGAGCTAATGTTTTTATAAAAAAAAAAAGAAATGATGGAATTGAACTCACGTCTACGTAACTTTTAACTCATCTCTTAATCATTAAATCAATAAAAAAAATAATTATAATATAATTATTTATGGGTGATATGCTCTTTAATTTTAATAGTATTAAACGGTATTAAAGCTTACGGATTTAAGTAATTTTAGGTGTCAATTTAAAAGAGTTTTTAATTTAAGTATCATCGTTAAAAAAAATCAATAATTAAAAGGCTATTTAAGATAATAAGTCCAAAAAATTAAACAGTTCCCCAACTATCATATTTAAAAAAAATGGACGATTTATCTTTCATGAAGCTTTTTTTAATATCCCTGCCTTTTCGTCTTTTTGTTCATTGATAGTAAAAGGGAAGATGAGATGGTTTCAATTGATATCTTGAAAGAAAGATGGGTTCTCATAAAACTAGTCACAGGCACGAGATTGCAACGGAAAAGAGAGAAGTGGAGTGGGGTTGTTTAGAGAAGAGAGAGAAAGAGAAACGGGAAATGGAGAGACAGTTGTCTGAGTTTTTCTAACATTATGTTTGAAGAACCAAATGTTGATTTGTAACCTTTGTACTCTGCTTTATATCTAACATGAATCAAGTATAATGCTTTTCTGCATTGAAAAGAAAATGGCTTCCGCGTTAAGTTGTTACTGAACGAACCGATATTATTCTTACCAGAAGTTGTTACTGATACGGTGATGGCAGAGGCAGCTCCTTCTGTAAATAAACAAGTCTTAAACCTTTTCATCAGGTCTTACTGTAGATAATCATATGCATTAGAAGACAAGCAGCATTGTGTTGTAGCTGCTATTCTGCTGGTATATCTACATGCCTTACCTTTTACATATCTTCAGTGTGAAATTAAGCAGGTCTTTGTAGTTTTGTGCATAAGAGTTACCCTTCACATTTCCCCTCCTAGATTCTGTCCTCTCAACTAGGACAAGAGGAGGTGGGTAGTTAGTCCCATCAATCGTAAGACACAAGAAAAAGATGGAGGGAGTATGACAGTATTGACATGATGCTTTGAATCTTGCAAAATCTTTCAGATGCTTAACATGTAGACATTAAAAATTATTCCTTCATGGATCTTGCTTTAGCTTGTATATATGTGATGTACAAATGCTTTGTGTAGTTTGTTAAAGCTTTTTAGTGATTGCTGACATCATGGGATGGAATAATATTTGATGAGACATAAGATCAGATGCCCTTTCCATGAGGGGTTGAGGATGGAAGATACCTTTGATGTGTAACTCATCCATTGGAAGTTGAAACCTCCACCAGAGAAGAATATGAAAGCTATTTGAACCAGCCTATTGCTGAGAAGGGGCATAAATCAGCCAAGTAGTAGTGGCTGTTGCAACAGGAGGAAAATTTAATCAATTTATTTTATTTATGGTTTAAATGCAGCTTTTTTTTTTTTCAATTCCTTTGATGCATTAAAGCTCAAAAGCATTTAATTTCTTAGATTTTATAAATTAAAATATAATATTAAATAAAAATAACATAATTTAAAATTTTAATAATAATTATATTTAAATATAATAAAATTAAAAATTAAAAATTAAAATTTTATATTAATATAAATTATAATATATTAATTATATTTAAATAAAATAAAATATTTTATATTTTTATATCAATATAAATTATAATATATAATTTTTATATAAAAATAATATAAATATAAAATTTTTAATATTTTATATAATACAAATTTATAAATAATCATATCTATTATTTTTACGGTACTATAGAGATTGAAAATGACCATAGAACTTGCAATGTACTGAACCCACTACGCGGCTTGATCAAATTGATAGAACGGTACTATGGACGCCGCTCCGGTGCCATGTCGGGCCACGTGTTGCCACATGATCACCTGCTCTTTTTTTTCCATACATCACTCCATGTTGGACCGACGTGGGCTGTCCATCGCCACCCTTTGCCTTTTGCTTCTGCTGGCAGCACCGCCAGCAAACGTGCTTCCCTTTTTTTTTTCGGAAATCATTAATGCTGCAATGAAAGTGCTTCTTTTTTTTTTATTTTCACCTATATTAAAAATAATGTAATGTCACTTGAAAAAACGACAAATGCCATCGACGTTAATACAATTATTATTATCTTTAAAGAAATAGTAATAATTATATAATAATAAAAATAATATTAAATTATTAATTAAGTTTACAGTTATGTACTTATTTAGAAATAATCACATTAATCTTAATTAATTAAATAATTAATTAATTAGTGTGATAAGACCCCACTTTGTTTTCTACTTTAATTCTGCTTTAAATTTCTCAAAAAAAAAAAAATCTGCCTTAAATCATCAGAATCAAACGCCGATTTGAGAGCAACCGCTGACAATGGCGTTGCTGTAAATACCCAAAACGCGGCACTCTTTTAGTAGAATTATTACGAATATCAATTAATAAAATAATTTAATGTGCGGAAATTTTTATGGCTGCCATTTTTTCCACGTTTCCAAAGCGTCATTAGATCTGTTCTGTTTTTTGGCTCTCAATACCGAAAGGTATTTAAATTGACAGACGAAATAACTGACAAAAAAAAAATCTTGAATTATTATTTTATTAATATTACAACTATTACTGCCATTTTTCCGCAGAGAAAATTAAAAAAAAAAAAACTTAATAAAATTTTGCTTCTCCAGCTGAAGATATTTCTTTTCCATATCAGGGATGCACTTTATTTATCCACTATTTTTTTGTTAATTTCACCTTCATTTCTTCGAGGATTATAGTCCAGCGTTTTCACGATTATTGTTTTTTTTATTTCCAGTTTTACCCTTTCTCCTTTCTACTTCGTGGATTGTGAGCTTGCACTTGGTCCGAGTTTTCAGTTCTGACGCGGTATGTTCTTTTTTTATTATTATTATTGATTTTTCTTTTATTGCATTTCGGTTTTGTTTTTTGTTTGGTTGGCGTGAAAATGGAGGAGAAAGAATAAAAGAAGTGATGATATGATCCATAGGTAATTTAGTCGGTGGTTTTGGAGCTGTTTGAGAATAAGGAAATAATAAAAACTTTGAAATTTTAATTTCATTTTCTGCATTTTATGTAGCTACTAAACGAAGCGTTATAGGTTTATTAGAAATTGGGATATTGGTCTGAAAAGTTAATTAGAAAAAATATGGAGGTCGTAGCTTTGCTTTATTGGAAGTTATGGGCTGTTTCTGTTGCCTTAGGTTTCAGAATTTCACGAATTGGATGATTCAATTATATCTGGCCTTTGTTTTTAGGAATGCTCAGACATTTTGGTTCACGTTTTTAAGAAATGACAAGTTAATTGCAAAATATGTGTATTTCGTATTGTTTGGTGACCTGCGTTTCAAGAAAACTGAGGAATTGCTTATCTTTTATAAGCCCATTTGGGCATTTTAGATCATATTATAAGCCCACTTGGGCATTTTTAAACCATATGGATATGCAATTGGCACTGCCCTCCTATTTGTTGGATTGTTGATAACAGTTACAAGAGTGGTTATATTATAATGGTTTCTGACTAGGAATTCAATATGCGGTGAAAGAATATCATATCACTGAATGAAGTTTGTGCCTATAGTATGGATGAAGGACTAGCTGACGAAGTAGCTCCAATAGATGCCACTGAGGGGGCTCACCTCCAGGGCAAAGAAGTTGAGTATTTGGTGAAACCTGACTGCTGCAACATATTGGAGTCCCAAGAAATGGTGATACTGGGTGGGGTTAATGCTCTTGAGAACTCATTCCATGTTCTTGGAGATGTGTTGGAAGGTAAGAATGCGTTGGAACATGGGTGTACGGGCCCTCACATTATTGATGATGCAAATGACATGGTTGAAGAGTTAATAGTGAGAAATTACAATGGTTCTAACTTACCCATGGTTGGTACATCAAATAATAGAGAAAGAATTCAGGTGAGGCAGAACCATTGGCAACATTTTTATCAGTTGGTAGGTGGATCAGGAAGTGGGGGTTCATGTGGCAACTGGGAGAACAGTCATGTAATGCCAAGTATGTCGCAGGATGTAGGGCATGCATCTTTTTCCGAGTTTTCGGGTCACAAACCTTTGAGTGATGGGCAGTATGAAGCAACAGAACAATTGATGAGTGGTGACAATAATGAGGTTTCAGGCAGTCGCCCATCTCATGGATGTATCAGGACAAAGATTCTATCAAAATCAGGATTTTCTGAATTTTTTGTTAAAACTACATTGAAAGGTAAGGGAATTACATGTAGAGGTCCATCTCATGATGCCACTAGAGTTGAGCCTAGACATCAGAATAACGGAAACTCTACTGAGGGAACTATGGTGGCTCCTAATCCTCCATTGAAGGCTGCTGGAAGCCCTGTTGTGGCTTTTAATAATTCACTGATCTTGGGTAACAGACCTGGTGTGACTTCTTCCTATGGGATTTTAGGCCCTAGAGCTGTTGAGTGTGATCATGATGGGATGAACTTGAGAAAATGGCTGAAATCTCAGTTTCATAAAGTAAACAATGTTGAGTGCTTGTATATATTCCGGCAAATTGTGGATCAGGTTGATTATTCCCACTCTCAAGGAGTTATCTTGCATGATTTGCGGCCATCTTTCTTCAAGTTAATGCAAGCCAATCAGGTTAAATATATTGGTTCAGTTGTCCAAAAAGGACTTCTAGATACTGTCTTGGATAAAGATTTCCCCCCTTCAGAGAACTTTATGATTAGGAGAAGGCCAATGGAGCAGGGGATGATTTCCTCAGTTCGTCTTTGTGCTAAAAAGCAGAAGCTCAATGAGAACACAAACTTGACTTGGTGGCCTCTGGTTCATTCTAGAGCTGGCCTCAAAATTGAAAACATAAATAATTGCCAATTTTCTCACAATGAATCTAGTAAACGTTGTCTAAATACAGAAATTAGCAATTCTGGCAGCCTTCATATGTGTAATTCAGCTCAGCAGCAGTCGATCTCTGTGAATGAGCAGTTGGAAGTGAAGTGGTATGCAAGTCCAGAAGAACTTAATGAAGGTGTTTGCACAATTTTATCAAATATTTACAGCTTGGGTGTGCTGCTTTTTGAGGTACAAAAACCAATATGCTGAATATCTTATGTTTGTTCTCTTATCTATTTTTTGGTCTGCATAGAAGAGACTGGATAAATGGTGTTTATTCTGAGAAGCAGTTTGATTGTTTCTTTCAGTTGCTTTGTCACTTTGAATCTGAGAGAGCACGTGCTGCAGCAATGTTAGATCTACGTCATAGGATTTTTCCTCCAACTTTTCTGTCAGAAAATCTCAAGGAAGCTGGATTTTGTCTTCAGCTACTTCATCCAGAACCTTCATTACGCCCAACAACCAGGTAGTACAAATTGTTCATCAATGCTAAATGTCAAGCTCTAGAATCTTAAAATTGATGTTGGAATTTGGTTATGGAGAATGTGAAAAAAAAAAGTAACTAATGTGAATGCATGTGCTACAATTTGAATTGCATTAGTGATTAGACTATGATAATTATATAACTTGTTAAGAAATATCTATAAGATATCATGGGATATAAAGCAAAGAGCATCAGTAGGTCAGATGATGAACTAATTGGAGAATTACACTCCATCTATTGTCGGTGGAAAGAAAAAAATAGAAAATTAACAAACTATAGAAACAAAAATGTGGAAGCAGTTAAAATGCACCATGTAAGGCCCATTTTCTGCTTTATGATGATGAAATTTTGAATTTTAAGTGTGAGTTGTCTTTGTTCTTTTCCATGCTCTTTTGACTGATGGCTAAGTTTTGAGTATTAATGCTTATGTTAGTGCAAACTTGCTACCTTTGTGCATGTATATGTAAATGGTCATACCCTGGTGTTCATTTATAATTCAATGTAGGATTCTAAGTTTATGATCTTGATGTATAACAGGGAGATCCTACAATCTGAAGTATTTAATGGATTCCAGGAAGTATTTGCAGAAGAAATATCATCATCCATTAACCAAGATGATACTGAATCACAGCTATTATTGCATTTCCTTAGTTTATTGGAAGAGCAAAAGAAGAAGCATGCCTCAAATTTAGTGGAAGATATTCAATGCCTAGAAGCAGACATTGAAGAGGTTGAGAGAAGGCACCGTTCTAGAAAACCTTTAACTTATTTTCCCATTAATGGGAGGGAAGATAGGCACCTTGGTAAAGAACCTCCAATTTCAAAGATGCATTCTAGTTTCCCATTTTCCAGTGTCAACAAAATGAGGTTAATGAGAAATATCAATCAGCTTGAATCTGCTTATTTCTCCATGAGATCAAGAGTCCAGTTTCGCAAGACTGATTCTATGACACGGCCAGATAAGGATTTACTAAAAAATCGTGAGCACTGGCATTTGGCACAAAATGATGAAGAAATACCAAATCCTACCGATAATGTTGGAGCCTTCTTTGATGGTTTGTGTAAGTATGCTCGATATGACAAGTTTGAAATCCGTGGGATACTGAGAAGTGGGGAGTTCAACGACTCTACAAATGTAATCTGTTCTTTGAGTTTTGACCGTGATGAGGATTATTTTGCTGCTGCTGGGGTCTCCAAGAAAATAAAGATATTCGAGTTTCATGCATTCTTTAATGACTCTGTTGATATCCATTTTCCAGTCATTGAGATGTCGAACAAATCAAAGCTTAGCTGTGTTTGCTGGAACAACTATATCAAGAACTATCTGGCTTCAACTGACTATGATGGTCTGGTGAAGGTTCGTATATCTTGCACTGTAGGGAGTTTTTTTGTTTGAGAACACTTTTCTATGAATTTTGTTGAGCTGAATGCATGTGGCAACTTTGTCATATCTCTGGTATAATTGCAGGGCATGTACTAGAGTCCAACTCGACAGGAGCTTCTTGTTTCTTACCTGTTCTTACCACAAAATTTCATCCCTGTTATTAGTTCTTATGACACTTCCATTGAATCTCTTTAAGCTTTAAGTTGGTTGAACTTCTAGTAAATTTGGATCCTTTTTTTCTGTTTCTTCTTAGCAAATTGGAAGCTAGTTGCTTTCTTTTATGTTGATCATAGCCGATAGGTGGTTATTGGTATCTTCCTGATTAGAATATAGTTGGATAAAAACCAGAATTCTAGCACTTGATGAATGAAGGTATTCTGGATTTAGAATCCAAGGAAGTGGCTTATAACTGTTTCTACTACAGTAATTTATAGAAAATCATAATAGCTTGCCTGCTGCCATCATCTTAATTTGTTTAACTTTCAATACTAAGTCAAATCCAAAGTACTCATTAGACAATTTTGAATTATAGACTTTACAGAGAATGGATATACCATCTATAACCATGTTAAAAAGCTATTGTGTCCATGATGGTCTTGGAGGTTCCCGTGTTCAACCCCATGCTATACTGGGTTACTGCTAGTGAATTAATGTTTTGATCTAGAAGTCTTATCTGTTGAAATAATGTTGTGGAGATAGCTTATGGTATATTGGTTCCTTTATGGCATAATATAATTGCAAATGCGAAGCTCTTGGTTCCTGGAATAACTGTGATTCTTTTTAATGTGCTTTGAAAACAGCTCAGTTATTTCCTTATATGTCTTAAGCTTTATGCTGTTAAAATTACTTTTAATAGTTATGAAATTTCCTGCATTGCACATTGAGACTATTTGCTTGGATGGGATACAGTTATGGGATGCAAGCACTGGTCAAGCTATCTCTCATTACATTGAGCATGAAAAGAGAGCTTGGTCTGTTGACTTTTCTCAGGTGTATCCAACAAAATTAGCTAGTGGCAGTGATGATTGTTCTGTGAAACTATGGGGCATTAATGAGGTAAGTTTTTCTGCAGTCTCTTATGGATCTCATGGCACAAGATAGTAACCACCTTATGAACATTTTTGTCTCTGTAAATGAATCAAATTTGGTAGAGGAAACAAACACAGTACAAATGGAGCAGCAGATCCCAAATCCAGGCTACATGCCATAGAATTTGATGAGTGTAACTTTAGGCCTGGGAGGAGCTATAAAGATTGCAAGAAACTGTCCTTGTGTGTGTTTATGCATGTTGTGAAGGTGGGAAATGAATTGTAACTGTTCTGCATAAACGTAATGAAGATCTTTTATCATTCAAGGTCTCTTGAAGGAACTAGTCTAATTTGCCTAACTTATGGATTAACCTTTGTTCCCCTTCTTTCTGAGTGTAGAAAAGCTGCTTAGGCACCATCCGGAACTTTGCAAATGTCTGCTGCGTTCAGTTTTCCGCACACTCCACTCATTTTCTGGCATTTGGATCTGCAGATTACAAAACATATTGCTATGATCTTCGGAATGCCAGAGCCCCATGGTGTGTTTTAGGTTGCCATGATAAAGCTGTGAGCATGTGAAATCCTGGACTCAGAAATGTAGTTACTGCTTCCACTGACAACACATTAAAACTTTGGGACCTCAATAAAACCAGTAGTGGTGGCCTGTCCTCCAATGCTTGCAGCTTAACCTTTCGTGGACATACTAATGAGAAGGTTGGATTTTGTCTACCGGAAAATAGTTTTTTGTTATTATATCTTGACTCTGACAAGCCTTTTTGTCTTCATTTGTGTTTGTTTTGATATTGCACCTGCTTCTCCAGAATTTTGTGGGATTGTCGGCTGCTGATGGTTATATAGCTTGTGGTTCAGAAACGAATGAGGTATTAACTTAAGCTTGGTTTTTTTCCTTTTTCTTGAGGCATGGGAAAATGGGGGATCTAAAGTCACTCAGTGAGCAAATGCATCATCTATTTCTTTTGGCTGCAAAGCATTAACTTAAGGAAATGTTGTGTTCTAGGTTTATGCTTTCTATAGATCTCTGCCTATGCCAATAACTTCCCATAAATTTGGGTCCATTGATCCTGTTTCTGGGAAAGAGACTGATGATGACAATGGGCTGTTTGTATCAAGTGTTTGCTGGAGAGGGAAATCAGACATGGTAGTTGCCGCAAATTCTAGTGGATGCATTAAAGTGTTGCAGATGGTTTGAAGAGAAGGTTAATTGCTGAGAACAATCAATTGCTGGCATTATTTTTAAACCTCAGAGTTGCCAAGGTTTCTTCTGGAGGTTTATCCTTAAGCGAGGAAGTCATCTTAGGTTCAGGCAAATATGTCATACATGAGAGCACCCGAGTATGGTCGGTGGCTCGTTATAAGGCTTTGATGTGTAGAACATACTATGCAGAGTAAAGGTCAGACAAAGTGGATCCAAGTTAGCCAGAATTAGATCCCAATGAAATTTTTACAGGCTCAAGAGGCGGGAATATCACGATGCCTCCAGGGTCCTGAGATAGAGAATGAAACTGTAAATATGGTAAAGCAAATTTGAAATGTAGAACTTTTGTATAAGAGGCTATCCATCTCGGTTTCTTGGAGCAAGGGTTGTTTGTTCATAATTTGCTGCTTTGAGGCATAATTGATACTTTAATCGATTCTAGGGAATTCTTTATTGGGTTGTAGCTAAGCAATCTATATAAATGTAACCAAGGTTATCTTTGTAAATCTACAAATTTTGGTGTATAAGATTAAAGGTGTTTATTCGATTGATTCGGTTAATTTCGAAATGAATTATTTAAAATTAAATTAATCGAATTATATTATTTTATATTCGTTAATTGAATCAAATTTATAAATTTTAAAAATTAATAAATTAAATTAAATTTGATAGGATTGATTAAATTTTTTGAGTAATTGAATAATAAATAATTTAAATTAAATTAAGGTTATCTTTGTAAATCTACAAATTTTGGTGTATAAGATTAAAGGTGTTTATTCGATTGATTCGGTTAATTTCGAAATGAATTATTTAAAATTAAATTAATCGAATTATATTATTTTATATTCGTTAATTGAATCAAATTTATAAATTTTAAAAATTAATAAATTAAATTAAATTTGATAGGATTGATTAAATTTTTTGAGTAATTGAATAATAAATAATTTAAATTAAATTATACTTTAAAATTTTAAATTTATATTTTAAATAAATTAAATAAAATTATTTAATAAAATATTCAAATATGAAAGTATTATATTAAAAATTTTAAGAAGTTATGAAATTAAATGATTTATTTTATATTTGAATTATATTATATTTTGATTAAAATTTTGATTAATTAGATTAATTCGGTTAAAGCCGAACTATGCACACCTCTATATACGATACTAACAACCTTCATAGCAGTTTGATGAAAAACAAAAGTAGATCAAAATTTGATTGATCTCCCTTTGGAATCTCATCGTGGACTGACCAAATAACTGAGTAAACTGACTGACTTGATATCCGAACAAACCGATTTTACTTCAGAAGCAACAGAATTTTTATCACTTGCTGCTATCAATGGACTGAAAGTCCCATTTGCTGTGAAACTTTCAAGGATCCATGCCATTTATCTCACAAATAATCCTGCTACCGGAATCGCATTTCAGGCTGATCATGTTTAGGATTCATCACAAGGAACTTCTTGATGTAGCGTAAAATCCTACAAATGGATTCTTGGACGCTGATTTGGATCGTTACGCTGTGTATGGAAAGAGAGGCCTAATATTTCTACTCACCATCTCTCCTTGAAGATGTCACTTCTTCGAAAGCAAAGCATCCGAAGACTGTAGAGTGTAGACATCTGCTTTCTCCGTCTACTTAGAAATGGAGGTATTCACCAACTAGGAAGATGATCTCTTGACTAGGGTCTACTAATTCTGTCCTTTTGGGTAAAAAAATGCAAGGAGATGTTAGGATTTGAAATCTTATTTATGTGTGATGACTCTCTTTCTTTCATGACACAGTATTTCTGTGAATTTCAAGCATTTTTGCACTGATCTGGCCAGAAACATTCTTCACATCACCAAACAAGTTCTCAAACCTTCCTCAGTGTTCCAACACCCTATTGAATGTGACAGAAAATAGAGACAAAGACCAGGACAACATATGCCTAAAGATTGTAAGGAATATAGAAATAGAGAATTAATAAACTCTCGTTTAACATATTATTTTATACTAATAAATTCGAACTTACATAATAATTATGGCAATTCTCTGGAATCAAGTTGTAATTTTTTCAGCTCTTGCAACTGGCTGTTTGAATGACATGACTTCTTTTTGTCCGAGCCACTTGATAAATATATAGTAATAAGAACTTTATTTCTTTTATGCACTAATCACAATGATTGAGTTCTACAATCTAAAGCTGTGCTGGGTTTTGTCAGCTTCATTTGGATTTCAAAATGACTTCAGCTTCCGGTTATATCTTCTTGAGTTGCAAAAATATAGAAATTGTGGTATGTAGGTCCATATTTCAAATACTTCACAATCAAGATATTAATGGACTAGATGTTTGCTGCCTGTTCTAGTACTCCCCCCACGGTTCTCTCTCCCTTAATCATCCTGATTCTCTCATTGCCTATAAAACTCCAACTTTGACATGATCATTTCTACGTGCTTCAACCAGAGTAGTTGTTCAAAGGTGCAGAAGATCATGAGTGGAACAAGCTTCCCCAATGCCTCTAATGCTATAGCTGGGTTAATACCTAGTGGGAACCATCACCAAACAAAGAGGAATGATACATGCTGCTACTTTCAGATGCCACTTCACTATCCGAGGTACAAGAAGAGTGACTACGAGAACATACCGGAGTCGCAGCTGGATTGCCTGCTCAAAGAGTATGGACTGCCCGCTGTTGGAGATGTCAACCAAAAGAGGAAGTTTGCAATTGGAGCCTTCCTCTGGCCTTCCCAGGATGAATAGAAGTTCCAACATCTTTGCCTCCATTTTTTTTGTTTCAGTATGAAAATTACCATGCCTACTTATATTTGTCAATCGTAAAGTATATATCATTCTATAACTGGTCAAAATATTTTGTAATCTTGAAGTGGCTTTCAGAGTATTCATTACTTATACAATTTTGAATTATCATTAATTACCACTTTAATGTAATGGAAGATATTACTTAGTTTTGGTGCTTTATGAGTATTTTTGTTTTTTATAAAGAAAGCCGAAATTTGAGATCAAAGAAATAATTGTCTTCCACTCAAACTCTACTAAATTAAGCTTGGAATTCTAAGAGTATTTTCTTCTAATTGCCCAAAGCTTTGCTCCATGACAAATATCACAAACAAGAGTTTTACAATTCCTTTCAAGTCCTTATCCATTGCAAGTATTGTTAGAATAACTTGACGAGGAACATGTTTGTTTAGACTCCAATTAAGGAAAAAAGAAAAGTGGACAAGCAATTGCAATTTTTCTTCTTGTCCCCACCTCTTAAATCTTAACTAATGCAGGTCAACTAATACCAACATCTCCTGCAAAATGATAGAAACAGGACAAGCACATGACAACCTCCAATTCGACTACCATTATTGAAGCAGTTGACATCTTGATTTCTAATTACAAATTGTAGAGCCTTCTTAATGTAAAGAAGATTAAAAATGAAGAAGAACAATAAAGTCTAACAGAGCCATGATTGATACAATGAATATGGAGTGATAATATCAGCAGTTTTTTCGCTGTTATGTTTCCCATTAAATATGACAGTTACATTTACCCGTTGTAGTTCTTAGTGTTGCTGATACTGCAAGAACTTTCACAGAAGATTGCTTTCTGCATGGAGATTCTATTGCCCAAAGTCCAAACAGTGTAAAAATCTTTCTTTTTTCTTTTCGAGCCTGGTAAACCGGTACAGCCTTCTCTAGAATCCATGCAAGTTTGATGAAGCTTCATGATGAAGCATGTTTCTTAGCATCCCACTTGTTTGATGGGTCCAATGTCAGAAAAACATGTGGTTTTGAAGCGACCAGTCATAACATCAAGTATCTAGTTTGGGATTATGATAGCTGAAAGGCAGTAGCAATTGGATCGTGTTTTTAGTGACTGACTCAAGTCAAAGTGCTTGGGTGCCGTGAAATCATATCAAGTAACGTGAAATCAATAGGCTAACAAGTAACAACTACTAACAAACTGATGAGGATTGACTCCACTTTTAACAACAACAATTGATCAAGTTGCCATTGATCAAATTGTGCAAACGAGAAGTCACAGCATACATAAGCCAACAATCAGCCTATTTTCCTTGTCTATTTGCATTGGTTTTCTTTCCCAACATTAGAAATATGTATAAATGAAATTGATAAAGTAGATGGTGCTATTCCTTTCGCTTATATGAGAAAGCCCTTAAAAAATGAAAAGGGAAAAGAGAATATTCTGTCTTGATTTTCGTGTGGATGATTCAAGTGCATATAAATATATAACGATTAAGGAGAAGGGAAGCTTCAAACAAAGAATAATTGTTGGCATTTGCTGTGCGGTTATTCTGACAGAATTCCTCATTTTTAGGAATGCTTGTTGGCATTTGCTGGAGAACAGATTCTAAAGCACAGCCATGAGAGAAAATTCGTCAATTTCCAAATTAATTAGCATAAATTAGAAGAAAAAGTGAATGAAAAAAGGAAAGAGAAACCATAAACAGATTCACCTTTCCAACTTCAACCAACATCATCTTGTCTTTAATCCATTAATTAAGTTTGGTAATGAAAATTTCATTGCATGTTCCAATTTTTATTTATTTGAGGAAAATCTTGTTCTTCCCATAAATGACCATAAGAAAAAAGTTAGAAAAGGGAAACAACCCATGGGCAATTCAGAACCGAAGCAGATAGTGCCAACTAATGGTCAGTTGGTCAGCAAAGAACATAAAAAAGTTAAGAAAAAGCAAGCAGCAAGGGCAGAGACATGGGAAGGAATCCAAAATATCACATGGGGGCGACTCAGGACTCCCCACGCCCACCTGAAAGCACAGCCTAACCCTCCCTAACATGTGCATCGGATCCATCCCACAAATCCTCTCCAATTTTTTCCTTACCGGTTACCGATTCCACCGGTTTTGTCTCCCCACCTCTACCGCTCCATATAAAATCATGTCCATCCCCTCCTGGCCTTTCGTCGTCACTTCATAATAATATAAAAAAAAAGGAACTGTGTTTTTCTGTTTTCCAGAAATTTTGCTTCTTTCTCATCTCCAAGAGCTTTTTTTCCCCTCTCTTTCTCTCTCTGCGAGGCTCTCCTGAGCCATTCCTGTCTTTGAATAAAGCTAAATTTTGAGAGGCACCGCAGAGAGAGATCGAAGATTTTCCTTTTTTTTTTTTTTGGAACAAGAATGGCAGTTTCCGGGGTTTCTTTTGTGTCTGTTTTAGCAGCACTTGTTTTTGCTATGTTTGCCTTGCCTGCTGCTGTTCAGGCCCAGTCCTCTGCTCCCGCCCCTGCCCCCACAAGCGACGGTTTACTCTCTCTCTCTCTCTCTGTTTTTCTTTAGATCTGAGATAAAATGCTATAAAATTTAACTTCTTGATTGGGGAACAGGAACGTCGATTGACCAAGGGATTGCATACGTATTGATGCTGGTTGCACTGGTGCTGACATACCTCATTCACGCTGCTGATTTCTGCTTCAGCTTTTGAGCTTGCAAGTGGAAATGGGGTTGGAATGATTATGTTGGTTTTTTCTTTATGGGAGGGGAGGTAAATTTTGGACTTTAACGAGAGAGAACAAAGAAGATGGGATTTGTTAGATCTAATATTCTGGGGGTATGATGGATGATGAGTAACCATGGTTCCTCTGATTGTGAATGTTGAGAATGTCCTTTTTATGTTCGCTGTTGCTGTTCTCATTATCATTTGTTTGTCATTTCTCTTTTCTGCCTCAATTTTTCCAGCATTTTCCCCATGCACGCTTTGGTGGGCTTCTAATTCGTTTCATCATGCAACCTGCTCCATCTTTAGATAATTGACTCAAGAAATTCTGGAAAACTATATAATAATGCTGTTGTAAATTCTATACTAAGATGATCCTTTTACTTTGTCCACGTGAATTCTTTATTGCCTCTGCAAAAAATGCTAAAAAAGAAAAAAAGAAAAAAAGAAAAGGCTTCTACCATGCCCTGAGCCTACTTGCAATTGCAAGTCTTCAATGCAATTTTGGGTAGTTCTTATTGTGATGACTTTAATGGCAAAGATAGGATAACCAGGGAAGCTAATGAATTCTAAGCAATCCAACTTATACAAATTATACAACTACGAAAAGTAGGTAATGGGTTTTGGGGGAAGAATTGAAGAGTTAGGCATTTGTAGATTTCTTAACCGATGGTGAGGTACAAGGGCCAATTGATTATTGAAGATTTTCATAGTACAAAGCTTCTCAGGGCTAGAAAGTTCTATAGTTCTAAGCTCCAAAACGTGCACCCTGAACTGATTATTAAAGAATTTTTGGTTACTACATCATAGAGTTTGGTATTAGCCAAACAAACCATTTTAAATACTCCAAGCTGACCAACAGACCAAACTCTAGAGAATTGAAAACATAACCAAAAACAGGAAGATATCCTTCCAATAGAAATGGTTCTCCATGGACTGCAGAAAAACAATTTCCGAAAAGCAGTAAGAATCAAAGTTAAATCGTCATGTTCAAACTTATGCATTTCTTCCTTGCACCATATATATATATATAAAACACAAATCCATTCTGCTGTTATCCTTAATCTTAAGAGGTTCTAATATCAGGCAGATTGATCCTGGGGGCTCTAATATTAGATAGAGCGATCTAGCACAAAGGTTCTACAAACCAGGTCACAATTTAACTATCATCATACAAAAATCAACAACAAACTAAATCTTATCTCCCATAACTCAGGGTCGGCTGAGTGAAAGAACAAAAAAAGAAATCATGTTCAAAAAAAGAAATCATGTTCGGTCGTTGTTTTTAACCTTCTTGCGCCACTTATTTCTATAAAAAAACAACATTTTCGTCTACTACCTTGTGCCATGATCATCATAAAGAACATAATTTATTTGATCTTCAGACTAGAAACTAGAAAGTGTTTGACTTTTGTAGCCTTGATCCAAAGTGCATCTGGTAAAATGAAGCAGCCTTTGTGCCTGACCAATCAAACATCACAAAGGCACACACCAACTTCTAAGCTTTCTAAGTTTTCAACCAGCATCAAAATAAGTGCAACGCCATGCCAACTTCAACATTTAGTATGAATTTTAATTCTCAATTGAGGCATTTTAGTCTGAACATCTGTTATGGTAAGAGATAATACAAAAAATAACCCTGTTTCTCAACATTATGTATTCAAATACCGCAAGGCTTTCTAGTGAGAAATTCTTCCAACACAAAATTTCATCAATTTTTCTTGCTAACTGGATCTGTGTCCTGAGGGTGAAGGTGATTATCCAGTGAAAATTTCTTGACTTTCTGCAAAGAAAATGGTTTTTTACTAATTAAATGCACAGAGAGCAGAAGTTAAACAGACACCAGCGCTCAGAACAGAATCCATAAAGACAATTATGTGTGCAAGATGTGTTTAAATAAATCCCAAAAGAAGAAACATGAAACATTAGAAAAATTAGTAAATTTGCTCGTAATTTCATGGGGAAGATTCCCAAGGTTAATAGCGATTAGTGAGAGAGGCATTCAAAAATAATAGCAGTGAACTTTCAAAGGCCACAAACTCTCTGAACTTAAACTTATCCAAAAAGAAAGAATCCATCAATCATCATTCATCATCACAAAGCCATAATTTTGTTTCCAGCATAGTGTTACCAAAGATCATTCTGCCAAAGCACGCCTAATAAAGCAACTTGGATACTATTAGAACTTGCAAAGATCATACATGGATTTTTTTTTCTGTTCAACTAAAATGTCAAAAGAGCAATTTGGGATTTGATAGTTTGATGAAACCATGAAACCCAGTTCCACATTTCAAAAATCAATGACTTCAATTGGAGCCATTTGGGATATTGCATTAGGGATTTGGATACAATAACCAATACAAAATGGAACTGTATGGATTAATCCAACTATCAATTTATATTTAATAACATTAAAAGTCTCATGAATCTTGACTACGAAATTTAATTCAATAAATGGGATCTACAGGAGAAAAAGTTTGGGGATTAGTAACAGTACCTCATCGAGGACGCACTCTCTGAGAGAGAGCAAGAGACTGGTGCATTTTTCTTGATCAAAGGGAGATTGAGTGACGCAATTCAGTAAATCCAAAGCTTCTTGCCGCCACACGGGCTGAGCACGTGCTTCCTTCATGGCTTCTCTTGTTTTTTTTTTCTTTGGTTCTGCTATTAGGGTTTTAGGTTCCAGAATAAACCCTCCAAATCAGGGTTTAAGGACTGTTTGGTTGAAGAGAATAGGAGATAGTGGATTTAATTACAAACTAGGCTTAAGTCTGAACTATACCAGTTGGGTTGGACTGAAATTGGAAAAGCTTTATCCATCTGGTTGCCTTGTGATTGCATAAATGACCATGAAAGATTTTCTACTTCTAAAAGATGGGCCTCCATTTCAGTGTTTAAAGTGGGCTGAGCATTGGAAATTGGTGTGTTGTATCTGATATTGATAATAGAAACGGATGGACTGAAAAAAAAACAAGAGAGAATATCTGCTTTGTATCAGATTCCGACAATCCAATTCATGGATCAGAGGCCGGCTTGGCTCAACGGGACAATTGTTACTCAAACTAGACAGAGACCACTTCATCCTGGGCCACTGTTTTAACGTCCAAAACACCAAACCAGAAATAGATAAAACTGATTTATCTTGTCTAAGTGAAATACATCATCCAAAGCCAGGTAGAGACAGATGTTCGATTTAATTAGAGAGTTAACAGTAACAGGGTAGGGAGTGCCAAGTGCGGGTGTTAGAAAATGGAGACAGCCATTGTTTTATGGCATTGAGGCAGAAAGCATGGGTGCATGTAACTGGCAATTCCACAAGAATTGTGTGTGTGTGTGTGTGGGCGGGGGGGGGGGGGGGGACTGAGGAGTTCAGTTCAGAGTTGTGAGCTTTCCTTTCCATTAAATATATTGTATCTTTAAAACGCAATTCATGAGATACTTCGTAAATATATCTATGTATCTACGTACACTTTGCTTCTACCATTGACCACAAGATTTTTTTTATCTTAGAATGTCTGAGGATTTCGTCTCATATCACTGTGGTGTCGGTATGTGAAATAGACAGACCTCCCCTTCGGACCCCTCGGCCCTACCTGCCTGCTTTTCCACAGGCAACGCATGAGTTGGAGATTATGTTCTTTTCTTTTCCACTTGCACTTGCCATATGGACCTCTCACCATTTTGGCTTATTTATCTTTTGCAAAGCCAGGAACAGCCTAATTGAGGATGGAGAAAAGGAAACATCGGAATTTAAGGTGCAAATATCCCATACATTTTTCATGTGACCACCTCACCTACCAAACATCCCCAACTCAACTCTTTGTCTCTCTTTCTTTTCATTCCCTTTTTTTTTTTTTTTGTTATTATTATTTTTAAATTTTCTTTTCAAATGATTGTCCGTTGGTACTCAATTTTATCGTGGAAGATGTCAATGTCCAACCTGGCCCATTCCTGATTATCACCATTCAACTGGATTAGGGAATCAAGGCAAATTTTAGCTGTCTAATGGTTTATTACTTCCTTCAGGTTCTGAATCCAAACATGAAAAATGTTCACAAGAAAAAAAAATTCAAAATATGTGGTAAAATAATTTCAAACCCATGATAATAATAATAATAATAAATGTATTATTTACATCAATTATCAAGTTCTTATGAATTGAAGCCACTCATCTTCCTTCCTGCAAATCCTGTATATTTTTAAATGGTACAAAAAATTATCAGTTCTGGTATAAGTTATCAATGCTTTTCACCAGCACAGGCATTAAGGCTTGAGGAATCTCAAAACATAAGCAAAATAAATACTATATAGTAATAGTAAACAGGTATTAAGTTTTTTGGGTCATTTTCCTTACAGGGGGGCACAGAAATATGAAGAAGCCCACTGGATTGATGGACGAGCATGCTTATGTGGATCTCCCAATGAATGTGAGCCAGAGTTATCCAAAATGGAGGGTCCAAATCTCTGGCTGATGAGATTTGAAGGATAAGTGGGACCACCGGCGTATCACAGCCGTACATTCAGACAGAAAATAAAAACAGTGATGGCCGAGCTGGATCGAAGGTTGGGACCAGGGGAGGTTCGGAGGGACGCCTAGCTGCAGGACTTGCAATGAACGAGGAGATGGAAGACCGTTAGCCTGACATTACGTGTACGGCCATGATTGAATTTCATAATAGGACCTGGACCTGGAGAATAGCAAAGAAGATCTTCTGGATTGTTTCCTTTGTAGCTTTTATTTGAATGAATCTCCAAAGTTTTGGTAGTTTGTGCCACCACGCCATTCGCTTCGCCCCTCAGCCCGCAACACCAGGACAAACCGCACACCTTTCTTTGTGTGGCTGCCTGCCCCCGACCTCTTATTTCTTCAAAGACCAATGCTCCTTCCAAGAGACAAAACTAGTCAAAATGGAACCTTTTCTTTTCTTTTCTTTTCCTTTTTTTTTTTTCTCGAGAAAGTAAAAAAGATAAAGAGAAATTGTGGGTTTTATTCTCTTTCCCCCCCTTTTTTTTTTCTCTTTTATTAATTATGATATTTTGTAAAAAAATAATAATAAGAAGAAGATAAGGAAAACCACATCTGCAACAAGTCCAAGCATCTGCTTTGACCCTTTGCTGGTGCAAATTTGTGACACTTTACTGGTTGTGTAAGTTTTGTTTATTCTCTTTCTTTCCAATTCTAAATCAAAACTAACTCAAACCATCAACAAATAATCAAATATGAATGTTTATCTTTAGTCGTTTTCGGAATTCAAGTAAGAAATGACATGACAAGTGATATGATCAAGTAAAAGGTTTTTTTTTTCTTTCTCCTTCATTAGGGAACAAAGTGGTAAGGGAGTTTTGGTATGTTGAATAAATGATCATGCAATGTGTGTGATCGCGAGGGCCCCAAAAAAATTAAATACCCAGAAGAAAATGACCCAGACTTTGGAGTCTACTATCTTTATTCATCAATTCGGGATCTAAAGAAGCTGAAAAATCACAGTTGTAGCCTGTAGGGCTCTCCCCTAATAGTTCCTACCAGTGAGAAAAAATTTTATCACTTTGATTATAAAAGCCTGAGAATCTACCACCCCTCTGGCCAAAATCTACCAGACAATGGCATCTCTTCCCTCCCTTTTACAGAAACCCAACTGCTTGCTTGAAATTTATCAAACACTGGTTCGAAGTTTGGACATTGTTAGAGAAATAGGGCTAGAAAACCCAGAAAAATTTACACAAACAAGGGTCACAAAACAAAGAAAAAGACATTACAGGATTTAAGAGTATGTTTGTCATGTTAGGGAAGTTGGGCCTGGTGGTAGTCAGGTATGAGGCAGAGTAGTGTAACTATTTTAGAATGATGATAACTTTTATTTAATAATTTTTTCAGCTCTTTGGATGAGGACTATGGATTAGCTAATATACTCTTTGGATTTAGCCTTGGGGGATTGTGTTAGCCAGGGGAAATTTTATCTAGTGCTGCAATGATTCGAGGAGAGGAAGTTCTCAGTTCATATATGCCAACATTTTGGGACCACAATTTGATAAATTTCATCAAACCACCGAAAACTGTTTCATTTCTAAATTTTCCTCGTGAAATTTGTACTTATGTTTTTGTTTGGATTACAAATAGAAATAGTGGATGTTATCATTCAGATTACACTAATAGCAATGAAACTCTTCCCAAACCTTTTTTCCTGTTAGAACTAATATGACTCAAAATCACATCCACAACTTCCACTTTTTTTTTTTTTGTCAAACTATTGAATCGAATGTTTGTATGCAACTTTCAAAGTTAAAGTCCCATAATCACATGTTAATTACACCCCAAAATGGTGAACTTTGATTTGCTAAAATTTCACCAACAAACACAAGGAGAAAGGGACCCAGAAACTGAAAAGCCCTAGGGGCCGCCACACCTGTCAGGTACCAGCCCTCTTTCACCTTCTCAAGATTCTATGCATTTCCAAACCAAACTGTCGTCTCAAAAACATAATAATTGCCAACCTTTCTTTCTAGCGTGTAAAGCCACCTCTCCATAACTTACTTTCGGCCAGATTCATGTCTCGAGTGATCAAATTTTAGAGAAGGAGATGAAAATGAAGTTTCATGATATGTTCATCTTGTTAAAGTTCATTTATTCCGAAACCAGAGATGACTTGAAAAAGGTTACTTTTCTTGCAATACAGGGGGCAATATCTATGTCAGCTTAAACAGATCGATTATCCCTTTGAAACTACCATAACTGCCTTCTACTCTTTAAATCCCATTGTACTTTGCCACATTCCATCCATGATTTTGCCCCATTTTTATATTCTCCTTTCTTTTAGAACAAAAAAAATTACAGCCACTTCGCAATTTCAGTTTTTCCATCACTTGGATAAGTGATGTTGTAAATTTATGTAATGTTTGTTTCTCAAATATCAAAATAGGTGTTATTTAATTAGGAATTTTCCAATTCTTTGATTCTACTCTTTGCTGATGATTACTGATCAACTAATTATTGTTAAGTATCCAACTTAAAATTAATTAACAATAAGTGAAAATATTTAATTTGAATATAAGATTACAAAAAATTAAAATTTTATTAAATGTAGGATAACTAACTTTAATAGTTAGCCAATTATAATTTTAATCAGCATGAAAAACCAAAACATTTATAAATAGATGATTGGTTTGATAAAGATTTTGCATCAAGATTTCAAAAGAATGGTAAAAAAATTGAAAATTTAAAGTAAATAAAAAATTACTTTATTTTATGTACTTTTATTAGTAATAAGATAAATGAAGATAATTCTTTTTTCTTAAATAAAAAAAAACCATTTTTTTTAGCATTTGATTCAATGATTATATACTTTAGTTAACTAAAAAAACTAGATTCAAAACTCCCACCCCAAAATGTAAAATAAATAAATAAAAACATTGCAGTTTTAAAACTCTACTCAAATATCTCTATTTTCTCAGCTATTTTCTTTTCTTTTAACTAGTTTTCCATTGTACTAAACATAAGGCATGGTTTGTTTCTCATTAAAAATATTTTTAGAAAATGATTTTTACATTTTCAATATTTGTTTGGTAGAAAATTTATCAATCAATGGAAAATAATTTATTGATCAATGAAAAATGATGCCATTTTCTTAAAAAAAAAAAAGTTGTCTATGGATAAGATCACTTATCAAGCTTAAGAGCATAATTCTACTAAAGCCAGACCTTAAAATAATGTGACTTTTTTAAATTCATACTTAATTTGATATGATCTGAAATAATATTATATTAATAAAAAATAATTTATTTAATTTTAATAAAAAATCAAAATTTTAAAATATTAATATTAATATTAAAAGCCTTCTAATATGTTAATTTTAAATGTGTGTATTTGTATATTATTAAATATAGATATTTTTAATATTTCAATAATAAATATTATTATATTAATATTTTAATAATAAATAATAAATATTTGTATAGTAAATGATATTTTATTATTTTAATAATTAATATTGTTTAATATAATAGTATAATTATTTTAATAATATGAATATTTTAATAATTTCTTATTATTTTTAATTCAAATATATTATTTTCATATTTTATTGAAAATTTTATTTGTATTACTATTTTAATAATAAATATAAATAAATAATACTTTTGTTGTGATTTAATAGTAAATAATTTAAATATAAAATATAACTATTTTAATGGTATAAATATTGTTAATATTTTAATAATATTGTTCAAAATATTATTATATTAATAAAAATAATATTGCAAGAAGAGTAATAATATTTTAAATAATTTAAAATATTAATATAAATAATAATGAATAGTTTTATTTTAACTGTTTAATATTAGTAATAAATTAATATTTAAATAATTTATTAAAATATATAATAATTTTAACATTTTAATAATAAATAATTTTAAATACTATAATAATTATGTCAATATTATTTGAATGGAAACCACTTACTTGTGTAGGCTAATTATGATTAAAGTAGGCTTATTATGTGTAAGAACAATATTAACTGTAGATTTGAAAACCATTTTATTTAGACAAACTCCTACAATTTATATTATTATGAACATAGTTTGTAAATTTTGTAGGATTGTAAGAACAATATATAAAACTTTTTAATTATATTTTAAGAATAATGGCTTTTTACTTCATTTCCCCTCAAGAAAACATAAACATATTAGGGTTTTACACAAAATTAAGATTCTAATATATCTCTTGTCCTTTTGTTTCCGAAATTAGAAGGCATTTTTTCTTTGTGATGATTATATTTGCATTAACATGCCTTGTACGATCGATGGTGCATTTGCAGAGAGAATTATCAACCAAAGGATAGATAGAAGTATTGAAGAATAAAGATGAATCCTTTTGTTATAAAACTCCTAGAAAATTAATTAGTATATGTTGTAATTATTTCATAGTGGACTAACAAAATTATTATATATCAAATTATATTAATTAATGTTAATTATTGTTACGGTATCATATTATTATATATCAAAATTAGTAGTATAATATTTATTAAGTATGATTATAAGTTAATTCTGAATTTATAATGCGATAATTCGACTTTGATTAACATATTAAGAGGTTCCTACTCTCATTCTCTATTTATATATGAGCTCGATTTTTTAAATTTCATAATTTTAATTTCAAATAAAAAAATAAATCTCTCTCTCATTTTATTTTTTGTGCAAGTCTTGTTCGAATGTTCGAAGGAGGTATCAAGAAGTACATGACGATGTCAACATAACTATTGACTTCAATTAAGCGAAATTAAACTCTCACCCACATCTCGATCAATTTTAATTTCGCCTTAAAATTGCCTACAACATGTTTATATGTTTTTCTTCTTTACATTTATGATTATTTATCTTCCTTTTTCAAACTCATTTATTGTTGATAAGCTGTTTGTTTATTTTTTAATTACTACAACTTAAAAGGACCAACAAAGTAGTAGCAAGGCAATGTAGAATATGTAATAAGGAAGGATCAATTTACATAGAGTAAAATTAATATATATTTTACATATTTTTTAATTATCAATTTTAATAAATTTAAAAAATTAGAGAGATAAGTAAAAAAATAAAAAAAATTGTTTAATTTCATTCTTTAGATATATTAAAATCAATAATTAAAAAAATATAACATATTTTTAGTTTTACACTATATAGGTTAATCTCTCTTTTCTTATATATATATATATATAAGTTTTAAAATTATTTTTTAATTAGAAGGATTATAATAAAAAAAAATATCAAATACATTGTCAGTGTAATTTTTAATTTTATAAATAAAATTAATAGCGTAACACATGTCTCTTAAGATATATTTTAAAAAATAAAAACAAAATTAATTAAAAATTTAAAACATGTATCATCATAATAATTTTATTTATAAAATTAAAAAAATATATTGAGGGTATATCAAATAATTTTTTATTATAATAAATAAATATTTTCTTTTGATGCATTGAACTTTATCATAAAAATAAAAAAATAAAATCTAGTGTTTAAGTTGTCCTTTGATAGAATTTAAGTTCTATCCGTTCTTTCAATTTTCTAGCTAGTGGTACACAAAGCTGCTAACTCGATTCTTCTGTAAAACTTTTTGGTAACAAGATCCTTCTTCTTTTCCTAGATGGCTGAAAGTAGAAGTTTCATTAAAGGGAAATAAATTCTTGTTTTAACAGATTCAAATAAAGAATAGCTGCCCAATTAAATGATGGGGTGAAAGGTTATTTTAGGTAAAAAAGATTGAAGGGACAATGGTGCATGGATCCGTGTGACAGCACGTGTGCACAACAGTTACTAATAATCTAAACTTTAAAATAGATTAATGTTACAAAATGATTTTTAAATATAATGAATAATTTAATGTAATATTATATTAAAATTTTTTAAAAATTAAAAATTAAAATATTTTTTATTATAATTTAAAATTTATTTATGATATTAATTCTTTTAAATATTATTTTATTATTATCGAAACTTTTGAAATGTTCTTCTAACGTGCAAGAACACGTGACTTCCCAAAAACAAAAAGAGCAAAGAAAAACATAAACGACAGAGCATAGAACACGTAGCCAAACTCGTCCGTCACCGTTACTGTGACGGAGATGTTTAACATTCTTACTTTTAGTAATTAATAATAACATTTATAAATAAATAAAATTGTAACAAAAATAAAACTGGAATAGAAAAAAAAAAACAAAAACAAAAACACAGCCGATATTTTCAGTTCCCGCCGGAACAAAACTTGCCGTGAAACCGGCATTACAAGGGAAAAACAAAGAAACACTATCTCAAATGGCTACGAGAGGATCCGACCCGAACAAGTCCCCGATGTCTTGGAAATGATCATCGACATGTTGCCAGCTCGAGAAGCCGTCAAATCCAAACTCGAAATCACCACCCGAACTCAAAAATCCATTCCCGAAATCATCTTTAAAAAAACCTTCGTGTAAACTCGTATTGTTGTCGAATAAATTCGGCACGGAACTAAATATGTCACTTGGAAACAAAGAGGAATAGTCGGAGAAATCTGAGAAGTTTTCTCCCGATATGCAGCAAAGGTCGTCAAGAACATCTCGAGGTTCGCTCCCGATTTCTCGCGATTCTTTAACACTTTGCGAGTCGACTTCGTCGGTCGAAAGAGAAGGGCAGCGGAGAACGGAAGTCGGTGAGCAAAGGTTCGTGTTGTGAGATTCCTCGCCGGAATTGTAATCTGAGCTGGATAATGGTTTTTGGCAGTTTTTGTCTTGAATCGATTTTTGCTGGGGAGTCGCAAAGTTCGTGAGCGCGTCGGGTCCACGCAACTGAATAGCGGCGTTGTCGTATACCATTGCAGCTTCTTCGGCGGTATCATAGGTACCTAACCATAACCGTACACGTCTTAGAGGGTCTCTGATCTCTGCCGCCCATTTTCCCCAAGGCCGTTGCCTTACTCCTCTGAACTTCTTCCCAGCCGGTAATTTCACCGACGCTTTAACTTTTGCTTCAACAACTGCCGCCGGCCTCTTTCGGGAACTCTTTGACGACGACAATTTACTTCTCCAAACAGCCTCGTTTTGGGTGGGACATGATGACTCGATTGTTATCTCGTTGACGAATTTCTTGACTCTGTTTCGCGAACGAAGTCGGGTTACTTGTTCTTCTTCGTCGTCGCTGGAGGAATCAGTGGCGTCAGCATCAGTAACTGAAATCCGAACAATTCGAGGCTTCATTTCTGGCTGATTTTCGAGTCTGACATTTAACAGTGGTGAAAGAAGCTTGGTTTGATTGTGGTGTTCTGTGTATTTGATTGAAGGAACAGGGCAATGATCCATTTTTTCAATCTCTTTTTTTTCTTCGTTTCGGGTTATATGGTTTTTCAGATTCTTTCACTTCTCATTGAGAGCGAGAGTGAAAGTAAGAGGGGAAAAGAAGAGATTCCTTTGAGCCTAGACACGAGGAGAATAAAGGGTTAAAAAAGAAAGCTGAAGAAAGAACACGTTAAAGAGAAGCTTGAAATGAAGAGAAATCCACCATTAATCGGTTCAAAAGCTTACTCAAAAGTTTATCAAACGACGAGAAATTTTCAGGAAAGTTTGTCCCAAAAAAAAAAAAAAGTGTGCTCAAGCAAGCAGTAGGTAAAGCGCCTAGATGGTAAGAACCAGTAGTTGAGAGAGGGGAGCAAAGAAAAAAAGGAAGAAATTTTTGTAGGCAAAAGTTACAGAGGAAAAAGAGAAAGAGGAAATACAGCAAGCTAATAGCTTCACCGGAAAAGGGTTAGAGAATATATGTCCCAAAAAAAAAAACCAACAGATAGTGCTTTTCTCACTCACTTAACAGAGCACAGGCTTTCTATTTCGGGTAACTAACTTTCAAATCTAAGTCTTGAAAGAAGCTAAGAACCCAAGTTGCTTTCTGATGATAATTTCTCCAGAAAACAAAAGAAAGGAAACTGTTCAAGAGGAAACAAGAAAAATGAAAATAAAGGAGAGTAAAGAGGAGCTCTTTTGATAAATCAGAGAGTAAGAGAGACAGAGAAAATGAAGTAGAGTTTTGAAGTGCATACCGAAAGTAGAGCCATTTTATAGGATCCCAAAACCAGCCGTAATTGGTTCACCCGGTTTACGTGCCAAATTTGTTTTTTGGTTTTCTTTTTTCTTTTAATTATAAAAAACAAAAACCAAAAAAGAAAGATTTTTACTGAAGGGTGGGAGGTTGGGTTATGTCGGCGACTCTGAGACTCCGGCGACGGAGAGATAGTTTACGAGTCGCCCCATAAGATGGGCATTTGAGATTTCGACATGTGGTAAGTTGTCCCCAGAAAACGGAAAGATCCAGGGGGGAGGGTGAACCGGGAATGCTGACTCGGCCAAAAGATTTCTTCTCGCAATCAGGGATTCACGTCACGTGCCACCGGACACTCAGGTCAGTCCTCTCTTTGACTAAAACAATATTAACAGCTGGTCGTTAATGACTCCAGTAATTGCCTCCCTTGTTAACTAATAAATCTACCGTTACTCAATTTTTTTTTTAACATTCGTAAGCATTTACGTCATTTATAGATGTGAGAGATGTAAATGGAAAAAACGTTTCCCCGTAAATAGATTTAATTTTTATTTATATATTTATTTATTAAAATTAACAAATGGCATTAAATAATATTTTAAAATTTATTAATTAAATAAATAAATTATGAACTAAATAAAAGACTTTATTTTTATTTTGCTTATATTTTAGTATATAAACAAATAAAAAATTTAATGAATAATAAATTTAATAAATTATTATAAAATAACATTTGAAAATTTATTAACTAAATAAATAATTTATAAATATAACAAAACTCGTTTATATACAATTTATTTACCAGATAATTAGAGATTATAGATTACATAGCTGGGAATTTTACCATTTTACCTTAACTTTTTATTATTTTACAGCTATGATTAACCTGGCAGGCAACCTTGAAGTTGGAGCTATTTTTTTTCTTTTGTTTTATGATTTTTAAAATTTAATGTCAGTGAGCTGAGTGTATACTGTGGAGCTGTTGCAATGTTTCTTTAGCATGGATTCAGGCCCAACAAATTTGACACGTGGCTTCTAATTATTAGTCTCTCTCCAACTAGTTACGAGTTTTGATTGGCCTCAACAACCGTTTTTCCAGCAGTAAATATTGGCCGTTAGATGGAACGGGGTGAGGTAATCACAATGTCAACGAATCATAAAAATGTTGCTTTTGTTTCAACGATTGAACGTACCCAATTTTAATTAGGTCACCTGTTGATCAAATTGGTTTTTACTTGTTAAGAGAAATTTAAAGATCTGGAATTTACTGCCTTGTACAGTTTGTCGGGGCAGTTATTTTGATTACTTTCCCAAATTGAAGCTGACAATTTGGGCTATCCCTTCTGGTAACTTTGATGTCTTGTTGATGAATCTTTGCATAAATTTAGTGCCCAAATTTAAATATCTTCAAAATATTTAAAGATTGACCTTTGTTTGTGAGAAGTGGTCAGCTTTGTATTTTGATTATAATCGAGTTTTTTAATATTTAAATTTATTATTATTATCAATTATAAAAGAGTTTTTTTTTGTTTAAGTTTAAATTTTTTATTTTGATTTTCTTTAAAATTCTATTTGTCAATTTTAAGCACGTTTTTTTTTTTTTTTTTTTTTTTTATAACAACTTAAGCTGTAAATATAATGCATCTGGTAGGAGAAAGAATTGCTTATATTTCCTCATCTAATTTTTTTTTTATCTATCATTATAGGATGGCAATTAAAAGCTTTGGTGCTTGCAATTAATACGTAAAAGTCATCTGTCTTTATTTATCGTACCCAAATACCTTTACTTTTACCATTCACTACCTTGCATTTAAGCGAGTCCTTGTATTTTGGGGATTTTTTTAAAAAAAAAATATTATAATTTATAAGTATTAAAATATAAATTTTAAATTTATAAAATATTATATTTTAAAAATAATTATATATTCTAATTAAATTAAATCTCGAATTCTATTCATTCTGAAGTGGGCGCAGATAAGCTATATCATTTTGTTTGCAACCACATAAATTACCACTGCCCTTTTTTTTTTTTTCTTTCACTAAAAAAAAGTAATTATTGTTTATTTTTGCCGATGACGTAATACGAATTCTCTTTCTTTATGTTGAGGTAAATTTCTTGTAAAAGTTTGGTGAAAGTTTTTAAATTCATTGGTTGAAAAATATATCACGTGTTTAATTTTTTTTTTTTAATTTCTAAATGATATTTAGGTTGCTTTTATTATTGATAAAGTGTAAACGTAAATTCTGACATGCTATTTCCTTTTAGGAAAAGCCACCCTTGGATTTTAATGCTAGTATCACGGGGGTAATTAGATATTTAGATGGGTGAAATAAAAAAAAAAATGTTTTTGTTATGCAATATAGACAAAGTAATTAAGATAATAAAACTTAGACGATAGAATTGAATTATCAAAAATTAATTATTTTGATTAATAATTATGTAATTTATTGATAAAATATTAAATATTAATTTCATAAATCAAAGTTTTATCTGTGACACTTTAAAAAAAAAAAACCAACAAGATTGCGTTTGCTCAATTGAATCCCTGACAATCGGCATTGCCAATTATAATTGATTAGAGCTGCGAAAATGATAATAAAATTAGGATTAAGTAAAACTAAAGATGATGGCAATTGGCGAGTTACTCTGTCATTTGTGCAAAGGAAGGATGGACAAATTAAGCAAATCAGAGGAAGAAACAAAAACCAAGCGGCTTCATTGTTTTGAACGTCGTTCGAGGAGTCGTGGAATCAACACAGTAGCCAAATTAAGCATTGTTTAACCCCCCAAGCTTTTGTAAATTTCATCCAACAAATTTTACCTTGCTCGTAAATACTAGTAGTACTATATTTATTTTTTAATTTCATCAATAATTTATTACATAATTTTTTCCAATAAAAATTAGTTATGCTAGTAATTAAACGCTGGTAACTTCTTTTGGCAGGTTCGGAGTTGTTGGGTAATGTAGGCAAAAGTCCAGGCTTTTCTCCATGCTCTTTTCGCTTTTGAAAATTCGGTGTCATTGAATGGTTGCTCGGTGGGTTGTCACTGTCATAGCTACATAATGCTTTCTTAATTTTAGTCTTTTTGACTATATTATTTTGTAAATTAATAAAAGCAAAAATCAGACAATTATCCAATCATTTGCCGTCTCGTTTCCATTGTCAACTTTGGATTATCTCTCAACAGTTAGTGCTTTGACAGATGTATATGGTATATGTATGATGTATATGTTAATAAAGAATGATTGAACTTGAACCAGCGCACACCATTATATAATTTTAAATATATAAAAAATAATGATTAATCATAAATAATATTCAATGCTTACAGCTTAATTTAACAAATTGGCTTTTGAGATTATGAATTTAAAAGAATTTAGATATGTAATGTTCTCTTCAATCATATAAAATAAGAAATTTAAAAATAGATTATGAACTTAAGAAAAAAAAACCCAATCGGCTGTTTAAATTTGGTTAATAATGGCAACCACAAAAGCTTTGTCTAATATTCCAAATATTAACGTTTTCGAACATGGTTCACGTCCCAGATTTAGTAGCTTCCAACCACAGCCTTTTGAGCCACTTCTTCAAATTAATAATCCGGATAGATAAAGGTTTTCAAATTGTGGAGAAACTTCAACATTCTTTTGGTCTTTCTTTGGCATTCTGTCATACAAGACGCAAACTATATATGTATACTAACCACTCTTAATTACTGTGTAAAAGATCGATCCAATTGATGAGTAAAGTATATTTTTTTATATCATTGATCTCGTTTTGGAAATTTGAAATTTCAATTTGAAAGTTTCGGATTAAAAATCGTGAAGTTCAAATCATAAGTATAAAAAAAACTTATTCAAAGACTTGAAACTTCTTAAGTATTTGTATGCTTATGTGAATAATAGTTCAAGTTAGAAAGAAGAACAAAACAAAGCAGAAAAAACTGTAGCTTCATCGGGCACTGCCCCACTTTGCAAGCAGCTGCTTAGCCCTAATGGAACCAACTGACGTAAAAACATGCAAACAAGTACATCAAATTCGACAAAATGCTTGGGAAGGTCTTGGTCCAAAAACACTACATGAATTAATAATATAAATTACCATTTTTTATTACGTGTGTTTTTGTTGTTTTATTGGGTCGACCTCAAACTACGAAAGATTTTCTTAATGCAAGTGAAGGCACAAGTCAAATGAGCATCATCATCCCCTAGATTTGCATTTGGCTTTGAGCCAACAAAATTAAGAGAAATCCCATCATTGTTTTGGATTCATTTGAGGCTTCCATTTTCCATTTGATCTCATATATTAAGACAAAAGCTCATAGACCTAGACAATTGTTATTTGATGATCATAACGTTTATGAAACACAAAACAATAAGACAGAGGAAGAGTAAGGGGGAGGGCACCCTTTTTTGGTTGTCATTTCTTTTGTTTAAATTCCTTCATATATCCTGGATTCTAAATATATTAAAGGATTTTTTTTATTATTATGTTTGGTGCATCATTTAAGTTTGGGAGTGGTTT